ACATGCGTGCTCAGTGAGAGGGATTTCAGAAAGTCAATGAGTCTTCACAATCATCTGGTTTTCCAGGTTTCCAATATTTTTAAGAATATGATTATGTTAGCTGTATAAATAAATTGAATATTCTCTAATTGCAACTTTTCTCTGTGTGTCTCTCCAGGTTGAATTGTATTTTATTGGAGTTTTGTCATTGATTGACACGAAATATTGCAAAATTACGTGGAGAAATGGCTCTACTCTTTAAATTCAAATGCAACTTAAACAGACATTGAGAGATCTAAGTATCTTATTCTCTTGCACAGTCAAGTATAAAGTAAAGTAGTGGTGTCATTTCATCATAGTTATGAGATGCTTTCCCTTCGCAGTCATGGAAGCAGGGCAGTGTTCCACATTACAGGTTGATTATGGAAGAAAACTGTGTTAGGATGAGACTGGGGTTCAACTTTAGACCAAGTTTTATACACTTTAGCTATTTTTCAATGAGGTGAAAAATCCATATGTGCAAAGTTTGTAGAAAGCTATCTGCATTTGCCACAAAAGTTGGTTCTGCCAATCGGTGAGGACATCATTTTCTCATTACTATTTTGAAACGTGTTCTTTCCTTCCGCTGTACCATTATCAGTTACTCTGTGTTGATGTCGAACAAAGACTAAAATAAAGATCCTTAACGCTTGTCGTAACATGAAATGAATATGAATAAATTATAGTGTTAGAAAAAACAAGTTTGGAATGAAGGCACTGAAAATTTTACAATGGAAACCTGTCCTAACTAAATTCACTGAAATTTCTCCCCTCGTTCAGATTTAATTACTTACCTAGATACCACACCCTAATTCCTCTTCTTGCCTAGACATTGTAGAACTATAGAGGCGTGTCTCCAAATTTGCGAACGTGGCTTAAAATGATTCAACACACGCGCTGGTCTTGTACATACAATTGCAGGTTCACACAGATCCCCAACTCTCTGACACATTCGGTGTCTTCATGTTCGTACAGGCTGGGCAGAAAATTACTGCACTCGGGAGAAGACAAAGTGATCTTTAATACCTGTTAAAGTAGGATGAGGCAGGGTGGAGTAACGGTAGATATTTGAGTGCCCAGAGGGGCACGGTGTAGCAAACAAAGTTTGTATGCTGGTTTTCAGCACAGGTATAGAGGAGGGGCTGCCTCAGGGCTACAACTCATGTGTGAGCAGATATTCAGTACTCAACTAACAACTTTTTTAGAGTTGTTTTTTGCTTCTTTCAAGGAACTGTTATTGTAATTATTGTATATTTTAGTGGATTGTAATTTGATGGATGTTTTAGAAATCTGATCAATCAAAAATACTCCTAACTGATTATTTTTGTTGATTTTTCTCCTCAAGTTGATTCTCCATTTTGCAGTCTTATATTTCCAAAGCATTCATGCCTCTTTTTTGTTGAATTTTTGTATTTTTTGCATCAAAACCCAAGACTTTATTGATACTTTTTATTGGTATTTTCTGTCATAGACATACCTTAGATCAAATCATAGGATATCTAATTAAAACTGCAGGTTATTGCTCTCTGTCAGCTTTAAAAAAAAATAGAAACTGAAAACAGCTCAAACTTAATTGGATTAGATGAAAAACATTGTTTTTACAAATTTTAAGTTGTTAGTGTTCTGGGACTTGACTTAGGCCATTCTAATGGTACGAGCTTTGATATGAGCCATTGCATCCAGGCTTTTGGCACGATCTTTAGGGTCTCGTAAAAAGAGAATCTGCAGATCTCAGATCTTTAGCAGCTTCTCTTAGGGTTTCCTTTTGGTTACTTAAATTAACTAAATTAAACTAATTTTAGTTAAAACAAATTTGAACTCTTACTTCCTATCCCGACTAAATCATCCCCAAAGCTTGATGTTGACACCACTAGAATTTAAAGTACTAACTGCCTATTCAGCTCAAAGTGCACTGGTAGTTTTTCTCCAGTTGTTGGATTTACATGTATTCTGAGTTTTGGTTTTGATCTCCTATAAGCCAGAGTATTATAGAGATTTAAAAAGTTAATACTTAATCACATAAAACACAAAATGTTGTGGTTTTAATTTGGCAAAATGTGGGAAACGAACAAGAAGAATTAATACTTTTTACAAGCAAATGTACATAGTAGTGAAATAGCAAACATTATCCATACAGAGACACCTTGAGGATTCTTCTTCTGCATGTTAGGGCTGATTTTATGCATCACTGTCTAGAAAATGTAGCAGCCACTCCCAAAACGTTCTCGCCCCTTTGCTCTTCCCTTTCTTTAAACTGTAGTTAACTTCTTTTTTTAATGCCTAAGGAATGCTGTGAATAAGGAATGAGTAATCAAATCTCATGTTTGGTCTATGCAGTCAGTGTGGGACTCTTCAACTTTTTAGGCTCTAACTGAACACATTTCACTTGAGTTATGGTTTTCTTTATTTATCTAACTGTCATTTACTGTAATAAAATGGCTAAAATCCTATTAGCACCACTTGTTTTATTAGTTTATTATCTCCTGTGATTCATTTTAAATTGTGTTCTCTTGCGCAAGCTGCATAGTGACAGCACAGTCAGGTTACCACACCTCAGCCTCACCCATCACTTTTTTATGTCCGCTTAGTGCAAGAGGAAGGGGCGTGTCCAGGGTCCAATCCGCTGTGTCCTCCACACGCATACGTCACTAAATACACAGTACTTCACTCACAAGGGCAGGCCCAGACTTTGTAGCCCACAGGCACAAGAGAGTGAGAGGAAGAAAGGAAAGAGGGAGAAAAAAAAACACAGGAAGGAAAAAGAAGGGCAGAGCTGAAACCAATGAGGGAGTGAGGCGGTTAGGAGAGGATAGAAAGACAGAGAAATCATAGGTTTGTGAAACCTTTAGTGGATTCTGGCAACAGGGCTGCACACTCTGGGACAAACCAAAAGAGCCAAGGAGAGAAGCAAGAGTCGCTCAGGTTCCTATCAAGGGGAAACCTGCCCGGGATATTTCATCCTTTGGATTATTATTTCAGTTTTATTTTGTGAGCCCTCAAACGGTCATAATGAACATGCAACAGCAGAAGTACAGGAATTTCTCAACTGACAGTCTGGGGAGAGACAGGATGCCCTCAGATGATGGTTATTACCAAGGGATGCTTAAGGCTACGGACGGGAGGAAAGGTACAAGTAATGTTCTGCTGTATTGCTAGGCTTGATTTTGATATGTAGGAAGATGCTGGGAACAAGTACGGGAAATTTCAGGAACGAAAGACGAGCGTGGTTTATTAAGATTGGCAAACATCTCACAGCAGCTTATTGCCACTTTAAAGACACCCATAGTTTTTATTCAGTGGAAAGAAACACACAGTTTGTAGAATGACCTTATTTTTAGCCACTAAGGAGGATACCCACTTGTGATGCATCAGCGGCTTCCTGTCTGGTAGTCAAAGCAAACTTAATATTGATTTCCCTTGTATTACACGCATGTTTAGAAATTAATCACTTTAGCAACAGTCTATTTGTCTTCTCTAGAAGCCAAACGCTTGATGAGCTTCATATGCTTCTTTCTTTTGGGTCCATTTTGATGTTCAGACTGATGAAGGAATTCTAAGGAATGTGATACATAGAAAAGCAAACAATTAGCTGGTCTTTCATAGATAAAATAGATTTAAATCTAGAAGACAATTAAACATTTTCAAGATGATCCCAATTTTTGCATGAAAACTTGTGTTGATGGCTTAATTTGTAAAACAGAAAAAAAAAAACTATACAAACTATTGAAGTTGAGTTTATTAATATCACCCAGCAGCCTGATGTAGGGCTCAAGCTGGTTATCCTTCTTCTTTGGGTAAAACCTTTCCTCCTTTACAGGAAGTAGAGTCATGGGGTCACATACAAGGCTCAGTTTTCCTTGCTTTGAAGATTAAAGGGTGAAGTTCTAAAGAATGAAGAACAATGACTCCAGGAAGATTGAGTCTGATAAAACATGCATATTTATTGTCTGTCAAGTGAAAAAATCTACTGCACCTTGTTGGTGTCAATGTTCTGTTTTTGCTAAATCAGTGGTCTCTGATTTCACTGTTGGGCGTATCAGTGAGTCACACCCTGACTGATATGTCTGATTAGACTTTGTGTTATTTCAGTCAGTCCCTTTAGTATTTATTTTAATAAATTAAATGTCAAATTAGATGTCAATTAGATGTCAAGAGTCTCCCGTCAGTTCCTCGGAATGGCTGGTTTGGGCTGTTGACTGTCATAGTCAGTTAAAACTGCTTGGTTAAACCTTTGTTTTATTTGTTCTGTCAGGCAGCCAGAAACAGACTCATTCCCATGATGATCTTTGGAAAAACACACCTTGAGGTTTTTTTGTCCCCCCCCCCTAAATATCATAACAGTAGGTGATAATGTGTGTGTTTGCTGTGTTAGTGGGTGTGTTCACCACCAAGGTCTTGTTGTTTCTTGTTGAGAAACTGCTCCCTCTAATAGTTTTCATGCCAAATTCCAGCCTTGCCGAGTATCTTTAAACTCATCTGAACAATCGTTTCATCTTCTAGCATGTCATTCCTCAGAATGCAGCTTGCAGTCAAATAATCTTTTTTCTGGACAATGGGGGCTAATCTCCCACCATGAATTCAGTGTAATGTATGTATCTTGAGTTAGATGGTGGCATGCACAGAAGTGCTTCAGGTGTTTTTCCACTGAGCAAAGAAATCTGTTTGTCTGACAGGAACCAAACCAGTCTGATGTCTCTGTTATCTGCTTTTGTTTAGTTTTATGGTAAATCTGCAAAACTCTCACTTTAGGATGACTTGCAATACACCTACCACCACCCTATAGGTGCAATGGTGCAAAGAAAATCAGAATGCTCTACCTGCTTCATTAACATTATGAAGAGATCTAAAGGTTTAGTGAATCAAATAATGCAAGGATTAAAGTGGTTAAAGAGAACATGCAGATTGTATTAATTTAGTGCATGCATGCCAAACCAAAGCACCAAGCATGTCTGATCTATAACTCTTGTGTCTTTATTTTCCAGATGAGCGAGATCGAGTACAGAAGAAAACCTTCACAAAATGGGTTAACAAGCATTTGATGAAGGTAAGATCCTATTCCCCTTGTATGAAATGAACACATCTCAAGGTCGACACTCTGGCATACAAATGCATTCAATCAGGTTAATTATAAAAGACATAAATTGAGAACTGCTTAAAAACTGACATCATGCTTTTTTTGCTCATTTAAGTAAAATATATAGTCCTGCTTTAGTGTCCAATATAGGTAAACGTTACTAGATGGGTTTCACATTCAATGTTTATCACCTACAGTTGTACTGTTATATAGAAATGCACTAATCAGAATTTTGTGGATTATTTGTATTTTTTGTCTTGTCCTAGTGTTTTATAGCTTTAAGCTGTCAGTACCAGTTCTATATATAAAGGCTTTTTTTAAAAATATGTTAGAACAGCATTCAGAATTATAGTTGGTTTATTTATGTAAGATATAGATATAAAACCACACCAGATACCAGAGACGATAGAGTCTGAGATACAGGATTTTATCATAAATTTGGAGCAAAGAATTGTTCCAACCTTACCGAGTACCTTTACACTCATATGAACAATCGTTTGATCTTCTAGGATGTGATTCCTCAGAATGCAGCTTGCAGTGTAGGTTGGAGCAAAGATACATTTGAAGCAAAGAATTGTTTAGGTTTTTTAGTATATTGCATGAGGATTTAGCTCAAAGAGATAAATTAGAGCAGCTTTAATACGTTCAGGTTGCCTGTTATCTGCAGAAGTCTCTCGTTTTAAACACATCTGACATCATCTCAGATCCTCACTGATACAGTAAACAGTAGCCCTGATGTCTTCTTCACTTAGCAACCGTTAGCACACAAATGAATGTTGTTGTTACAAAAGCTTGGTAGATATTATGTTTGGTACATTTAATGCTATATAAAAAAAGATAATGTTTCGGGGGTTTCCTGCTGTCTGGTCACTAATCAGGGCTGATGAGTCCATTTCACCATCTATAGTTGTGTTAATGTGAAACAGTCAGTAAATTCTGTATGTGGGTAAATGTTTTTTTTTTATTTGTTTGGTAGGCTTTACAACTTATGGTTATGCAATATAGATTGTGTGGCTCCTTCCTCTGAAAAGAACTCATCATGATCCTGAAAGATGTTGCAGCTAATTTACAGTTTAAGGTTTGATTAAAGGACACTGGAAAGTTACTCTGTTCCATGCAGTTCATCTCTCATCTGTTCATTGCAAACATATCTATGAGAAACGCCACCAACATCCCTCCTTATGTCTGTTTAAATATACACTGACTAGTCAGTCATTCTCTCACACTCAGTCACTACTATATTACAATGATGGCGCGGCTTACCAGGAGTCCTGCCTGTCATCAGCTGAGAAGCTGTGTAAACCTCCCATCAGCATCCGTCCGCTGTCGCCTACATCAATCTATTCTCAGATTATTGTCTGAAAGCCCACCAGGGAATCATTCATTCATGGCAGAGAACAGGTCGGAAGAAGGATTGAGGGAGGCCCTATAAGCCTTACTCTAGAAATCCTCATTAGGCCTGAAACTCGAGCCTTTATTGAACAAAGAACCTCCCTCTGAGCAGTAAAAATATTTCTGTTTGCCACAGAGCTCCCACTGGCAGCAGTATTTTATATTGTATATTCACAGGTATGTGGAGCTAAATGTCTCTACGTTATTTTTAACTCCCAGACATTGGTCCTATTCATTTACTTAAAATGAAACTAAAGGAACATTTTTTTTTCTTTCCATGCTTCCCTGCTTGCATGGTCAGATGCGACTGTAGGAAAGCATCCTGTCGAGACTAGTTTTTGTTCCTCCTGACTGTTTTCTATGAATGTTGAACGGTGAGTCAAACACATCTGGTCTCAGTTAAGTCCCGCTGTAAAGGCAAATTCTGTTCTCGCCCCAAAGCTCATGGTGATTGAGGCTCACGGTAGCACATGTGCTGCCCAGACTCCTGGGTCTGGGTGTGTACTTTCTATAATACACAGCTTAAAGGGATGGTTGAGGCTTATGGATATGAAGTTGGGTGAAATGTTCATCGTCTGTAGTTGAGATGCAATGTTGAGATTGCCCCGACTGTCACCAAGCCTCCTGCTGTGAGAAAAGACCAGTGACGTACCAGAGAATAAGAACTTTTGTAACTTTTCAGAGATGCCGTTAATTGAAAGTTTTTAAACTAGAAAAATCTGTGCATTCTGCAATTTTAAAACATCCTGTCACTATTTCAGACCTTGATATCAATTAGAACAATTTTTTTTGGCACCTTTCACTTCACCACATAGGTGCAGAAGACAGTTTGTGTGAACAGATATAAATTAAACAGCTCATCAACACGCCAAATAGTTAAAAGTTGTTTACAAAAGCAAACTACAGTATTAGACCTTTATTAGTATTATTGCACTTTTAATGAGTTTCCATTTAGAATATCTAAGTGGTTGTTATTTTCTTCCAGCTGCCCCACCCTAAACTCATGCTGCTGGCTGAAATTGAGCACATGTATTTTATCCACACCTACAAGAAAGGCCCATTTGTCTTTTGGAAAATATTTTCCAGTAACAGATAAAAAACTATAAAGCCATGGAGTGGAAAGGATAAGCCCCATTCAGTCCTCTTACTATATGATTATTTTAAACCAACATATTTAAATAGTTGCTATCTTGTTCTAAGTAGAGCAATCAGACGTTACTCAATGTTTCTGTTTTTCTGTACTATTTAAGAGAATGAGATTTTTACCCAGTATTATCATAGGATTTTTTAAGAGATCCATGTATTTTTACATTTGTTTAGGTACCTTAGATAAGACTGTTTTTAAGCCTGTAAGTTATACTTTGGCTAACTGATACATTTGCTATAGGTCTCCCATATAAAGCAAGCAAAAGATCAATGCTTCACACATTGCCATGTGCAGTAAACAGTGCAAGTTCAAACACAGATAAACATGTTTGAATGTGGCATGGAAAGTGTTAACCTTAAACACCACTTGAGGAGTTTAAACTGACTTAATGACTAAATGGTTTGCTTGAAGGGCAACAGCATAGAACCTGCCTGTTCTTTGAACAGCAGCAATGTCATTGATCATTGTCCCCTGCTCAGTTAACCTCTTCAGTTTACATAAGAAAAGCTGGAATCTCAGCCAAGCAACAGGATGGGAATCATTTTTCTGTCAATGGTATTTTTTCAGGCCCAAAATGTACATAGAAATAATATTAAACAATGGAGGAGTAATAAAGGCAAAGCAAGGGCATTTTATTTGTGCAGCACAGTTCAGTACATGGACAATTCAAAGTCTTTTACATGAATTAAAAAATAAAATAGAAGACAAATAAAAGCGGAAGAAAATCAAAAACATTTGTAAAGCAAATTAATCAATTAGACCACAAAAAAGCAGAACAAAAGAAAGTAAAAAAAAAAAAACATGATAAAGAAAGTAAAACAGTTGGATCACAACCTTAAACTAATACCCCAGTTAGCACTTTAACTTCAGTAGTCAAAGGCAGCACTCAAAAAAATTGGTTTTGACTTAAAAGGTGATTTATTAATCTTCCAACTTTCGGATCAGACCATAAAGAGATACTGATCATATTTAGATCTGCAAAGCATTGCAGATGAGCTTGTTCTGACTCAACAGAGATAAACATTCACATATCTTTCAGCACTAAATGTTCAGGTATACATTTACAGTGTTGTAATTAACGGGCGCTGACAGACGGCTCTTTATTCTCCCTCTACCATTTACAAACCATTTTCCCTGGCAGTACAAGTTATTAAATCACATGTGGTTTTGTTTTGTTATATTAAAATATAGCTTGATAATCTGCCAGAAAACAGGTCTCCAACAGGCATTACAAAGGTACATATTTCACAGTAGTCTGCCCTGTTAGGTAGATGACTAAATAATTGCGTAAAGAGTGACCTCTAGTGGCTACTTATCATATAGCTTTAGAACTAATCTAAAACTTTCTTTGCATTCCATGATGTCTCTTCACTAAGGCTCGGAGCTCAGAGGTAGGTGATAGCATGCTGGTATAAGACTCTGTTTCATCAGTGTCTGTCTTGCATGGACAGGCAACACTTCCTCACATGTTTCATATCAAGCTTTCACCCCTGATCCAAGATTAAGTTTCCTAGCAAAGTCACTATTTTTTATTTCATTTTCACTGCTGTTGTTGGCACTCTGTCTTGTTACAGTAACACCACAAACTGCCATGTATGATAAATTACCATTGTCCTTTACGTTAAATGCATTCAAAGTGCTCATTTTGGTTATATCTTCACATTTTTCATCCTAAAGGTTTAAATTTCTCATTTTATTTAGAAAATCTGTCACTTTTTTAGTGTTTTTTGGCATCTGGAGCTGCAGTCAGGCTTGGCTCCTCCAGGCTATGCATTCCTAACCTGTGTAGAGGTTTGCTTGTTCGAATGTTGCACAAAACTTCTGTTGAAAAGTCTTTCAGTCTTTTCTTTTCTGCAATCCTTCTTGACTTTTGGAGTCAAAAGGGGTTTTAAAATTAAAGTCGTTTGTGATTGTTTGTGTAAAATAAATCACAGGAGCGGCCATTATCCTAAACAACCGAGAGCATAAAAAAGTATTGTTTTATAGTTTATGTATACTTAAGCATATGTTATGTTATTTTAAAAAAAAAGAAAGAATCTAAGAGATTTTTGAAAATTTGCATCCTTCTGAAATACATTACATGCCATAAAAAGGCGACATGACTTGATACTGATAATGTTATTAAATATTCATCAGCGGAAATCGGGTGTTTACTTATTGCACCATGTGATACACTCACCTCAGCATGTCAAATGCTTGAAGTGCCACTCCTGGTTGGGTAGTCACTCTTCATCACAGTAGACACATTTGGTTTAAGCGTACACGGTGACTAATATAAATACTTTACAGATGCAACGGATTCCTCACCTGGCAAGTTTAGCTGTTTTTTATTTGTGTTTGCATATCCTCATGATGTATCCTCTGTCTTCTCCCCCTGGCAGTCACAGCGCCATGTGACAGATCTGTATGAAGACCTTCGGGATGGACATAACCTGATCTCACTGTTGGAGGTCCTCTCCGGGGAAACTCTGGTAAGTTTTGTCTTCAGATTGAGACTTTGTGTAAAAGGAAACGTTGCTTGAGCTCTGCATTGTTTGCTCGATCCTGACATATTGCATCACAACTCGCCTAACCTGGGGATGAATTAATTCCTTCTAAGAACAAATTAGATTAAATTACCAAATGGTTATGAGAAAGATGCTAAAGCTGAGTTGAATCTGATTACCAGAATGATAAAATTTTTCTGTATTTGGTTTTGGATGATTCCAAGTTGTTTTATTTGTATTTTTTGGGTGTTTTTATATCAATTAAATCCATCTACAGGCAGTTTGTTTTGAATTTTTTGCTCTTCAGTTCTGTTTAGTTTCTCTGCTACAGCTGCTCTACTTCATCGCTACTAACTTCAGCTCCAGCTCTGTCCATTTTATCGAAAGTCTTTGAAACTGTGACATATTAATAGCGCAACTCTGCTCTGTGTGAAAGTCTGTGAAACGTTCTCCAATATGATCCACAGTCCTATTCTACTCCACTCTTTCTTCTTTCTTCTTCCATTTTTCCTCCCCTTAACCTCTGCTCTGATCTTTGCTGTTTGGCCTTCGTCTGCTTTCCGTCACATTTCACTCGCTAGCCGAGGGAGAAAGACATGGTCAGGAGCGTTCGGCTGGTGAGTGGCTTTGGAACTTGCAGTTTTCCGTAATGATTCACCTGCTCTCTGTGACTGAGTCGGCTTTGCATGGCATCCATAGAACTCTGGATATCTAAGTTTCCTTTAATGGAAAGCTTCTCAGAATGGAGCTAATGGGGAGAAAAGTAAAGATGTACCTCACAATATCTCATCATTTTCTCGCCGATTTTCGATATCTGCTTTTTGTAAATGATAAACCTGTCAGAACTGAATTTAGCAAAGTCTAATTTCACTTAAAGAAGTAATAAATGAACTTAAAAAAAGAAACAATTTTTTTTGACATTTTCATTTTGCTTTTTTTCCTGCTACAGATTAGTAAAGCTGTAAAACAGCTGTCTTCTTTAGTAGTATGTAGAAAATGTTGATTCCTTAATCTCAGGTATAAAACAGGCTGCCAGCATTTACAAAGCAGCTGTGATCTACAGTATGACAGACAGAAAGCTGAAAATGAAGCAGTTTCTGTAATCCATCTTTCCCCCGCTATTATCTGAAAATCTCTCCTTCACAGCCTGAATGAACTACGAACGTATTTCTCAACATTTCCTAGAAGTATTTTTCTTTTAGATATTATCTTCCTTTGCCTTCAGCTTAAAAAAGCTTACAGATCACCAAATAAAGCTTACTTTCAGTTTTCATCCCTCAGGTTCCACAATGAAAAGGATTGTTAATGATTGGTTTCTCTAAACTTGGTGCATTTACTTCCAGCCATTAGGCAGGTCAAACTGAAAATCTTTCTGTTCTCTGTGTATTTCTAGAAAATTGAGATATTTATTTAGAGATTATTGAGTGTATATATACATATTATAAATACATTATAATTCTAAAAGACTGCAGGAAAACCAGGGATTTAATTTTGATTACATTTTCATTCTCATCATCTTTTGTCAAAGTTACCACTGAACCAGGTGGACTGTCCTGGCTTTGTTTCCTCTACAAAGAGTCCATTTAATGATTCTTCTTTGTGTCGCCTTGATCCTTTCCAGCCCAGAGAGAAAGGACGCATGCGGTTCCACAAACTGCAGAATGTACAGATAGCTCTGGACTTCCTGAAACACCGACAGGTAAGGAGTGCAGTGAGGTGTGCGCTGACACCCGCTATTACCTGAACATCATTAGAATGAGATGGCTCTTGTTTGTTGACAGGTCAAGCTGGTTAACATCCGAAATGACGACATAGCGGACGGAAACCCCAAGCTGACATTGGGGTTAATATGGACCATCATCCTCCACTTCCAGGTCTCCTCCTCTGTCAGTGTTATGTTCCATTTTATTACTCTTATCCTCTCTCTCTGGGATCTCAGCTGCTGCTTCTCCATCTCCTTGGAACCAATCAGTGGGGACATGGCTCTCTCATCAAGAAATAATCACTTTCCCTATAGTCTATGAAGTAACAGACTAACTTCACTGAATTTCAACTGTTAAAGGAAACAAAGCACCATTAGAGTGTGCCAGTATGACTCACTCTTGTCTACCTTCCCAGGAGGAGGGTGTGTCCTGTTGAGTATCCAAATTACTGGCTTACCGCTCTTCTAGGCCCAAATATCCAGGCCTTATTGTAACTTTCCTGGTGTTTGCCAGGAGCTGCCAGGCAGAAATCCCTGAGCATCAACCATAAAGATCTGGTAACATCCCTCCTCTCACTAAAGAGTACAGTTTAGGTTTAGATTTCAAAAACTGAAAGACAAGTATAAGACACACTGGGACTATTTAGTAATTTTATCAGCTATGTCCTGCAGATACAATGTCTTTATACTTGTATACAATAGTGAATAACAGGAGGCAGCTGGGATGTGGTTTCTGATGAGTCATTGAAGCTCTGAGGTAAATGGATTAAAACTGAGCTGGGATCAAATAATAATGGAATTATTAAATCCACCCAGCTTATTATTCAAGTCATTAGATACAGAAAAAAAGATGACAACTTTATTCAGCTGCTTATGCCAAATGTTTATACTCAAGCAGTTTGATTTAAGCCACCTTATATGAAGTGTTTGTTTGTAATAATTAATATCTATGAACGTTTTACCAAGTTATCCCCCTTTTTATAAATTCTGGAAGATTTGAAGAGTGGAGTTTGTGACTCACTGCCAGCTGTGAGTCATCTTTTCTTTACCCAAAGTTTCCAAATATGAATTTATCTGGATTCCAGAGACAACGTCACCTTTTAAACTTTCTTTCACATGGCTAAGTATACATCCTGCTCAGTTCTGGAAACAAATATTGTTTTTATCTTGAAAAAAGCCTTGAAATAATTTCACTTATTTTATCCATAGTAAATCTCATTTCAAAAGATGTGGATAAAATACTATCAATGTGAAAACATTTATTATGTGTTTCATACAACAAATTGAATGAAGCTGATTAAAATTTAAAGCTATATTTCCTGTTTTTTTAAGTTAAATTATGCAGCCGTATCAAAAAAAGATGAATTTATTTCAGGCTTTTTAGTATTTCATTTATCTCTGGTGTTCGATCATTACATTTAGTTGGATCATTTGGTTTCCACTAATTACTCTCTTTTTCTCCAAATTTCTTCACACATATTTTCCAAACTTCTTCACCATATTTAGGATTAAAATGATTCTTTTTTATGTCTGTGGTGTCAGATCTCAGACATTCAGGTCAATGGCCAGTCAGAAGACATGACAGCCAAGGAGAAGCTGCTGCTCTGGTCCCAGAGGATGACAGAAGGCTACCAGGGAATCCGCTGTGACAACTTCTCCACCAGCTGGAGGGACGGCAAACTCTTCAACGCCGTCATACACAGGCACTAGTAAGTCTGCTGAATGATCTTAAGAAAAGAAAATCTGGTGCAAGTACAGACAGGAAATTTTAAAAGCGACTGCACCAACGTGCTCCCTTTTGGTTTATACCAAATACATCTGCCCTATGGCAATAGAAAACTGAAAAATTGACAGGCTTTTACTGTCACATTTTACTTTAATTTAATACTGAGTGCAGTTCAGAAGGGGTGAGTCCTTGGAAGGCTGTCAGATTTCAGATTATCCTTCCTGTTGCCAGTTAAAACATGCCGTCTGATTCAATCTCAAGATGGTGGCTACTCCTTAAAAGTTTTTATGTATTACTGTGACTTGGTTGTTTTATGATAGTGAGGTCAGTGCACCTAAAAAGGCAGATAATAGCAGCCGTATGCATCTTTATCAGGAAATATGTTTTGTACTCATGCTGAAATACAAAAAGCAAGGTGAAAAATATGTGCTGGTGTTACTCTACTTGACTCTATGCATTCTCCTGCTGCCTTATTGAAATATGGGTTTGAGTTTCAAGCCTTTAGGGCTCCGATAATAGCAGAGGATCCTGGTAGTGATTAATTCTGTGTTGCCTTTGGTTTGTCTGGTTAAGAACAGTGAATTTAGAAGGGATTAAATTGCTGAAAGCCTGGTTTTACTGAAAGTCCCCAGTTTTTTGCCTTAAATAAGTTGAATCACGAATAGATGTTATGTATTTTTTGTCAGACCTGCTGCCGATAGATTTGTGCATAAACATTCTGAGAGGTGAATGCATATCATTTTCTCATGAGGATTTTACTGTGAAGAAAACCAGTGGCTGGTTTTAAACTGAAATCTCTGTGCAAACAAGAAAAAAGTCGGATATCATAAGATAAATGAAATCTGCCAAGCTATTATGATTTGAATAGAAAATATACCTGCAGGGGCAAGTTTTGCTGGAGAGTTAAGCAGCCTGCACTTTTTTTTTTCTGTTATAGAGACTCTGTGTTTGATCTCTGCTACGTTTCATTAAGACCAGGGTGTGGTGTGGGTGTAACTGTGGGACACAGTGAAACCTGTACCGCTGATTTGTTCTGCGGCAGACGTCTGTATGGCTGCTGCAGTACTGACGTTTCTCTTGAGTTAATGTCCATAGTTTGATCTTGAATTGAAGATCTGCTGCTGAAGTCAAAGTTTTCATAGGTGAAGTGTAACTAAGAGCAGGGACTGAGGACGGACCAATGGGAGGCTACTTTTTCTGACCAATGCTGCAGAAAATTAAGGACATTCAGAAGACAATGGACTCTTGGGACTCTACGGGGTGGATTTTCAGGCGATGATAGAACCTGTTATAATTGTTTTTTTATTGAAGACATGCAACTGCATGTAGAACAGCTTCCCTACAGACCTTGTAACTCTGACTGAGGACCGGCTGCAGATTTTAAAATGCTCACTTTGAAAAAGAGGTCTAAACAGAGGAAGGGGAGCTCAGGCTTTTTCCGCAGTGTGTCAAGATCTCCTACCGACACGAATGATCGGGTGTTCATGTTGTGCGAGGACATCCCATCAGAAGCGTCCTCCTGGGACTCCGGGCGCAGTTCTCATAGCTCAGTGACTCGTTCCATTAGCGAAGAAATAAGCCAAGGATGGAGCTCTAATGGAAGATCAACCCGGAGCACAAATGCCTCTTCTAGACCTACCCAAGAGTTTTCTTTTAGAGAAATCCATCATGTGAATCCTGCTTCTGTTTATAAACAAAGTGCTGACTATTCCACACTACGCAACAGAGAGCTGTATGATTTTAATCTGCTTTGGTTATTAATATGTTAGAACCGCATTTGCAATTAAATGTATTAACTTTAGAGGTTTAAAAAAAATTAAGTATATATCACTGCAATTTAAAGCTGTATAATGAATAGGGTGAAGTTATGCGACACGTTCAGTCATCCTTTTCCTCAATCTAGAGGCTTGAACTTTTGTCTCCTGTTAGTCAAGCTGTGGCTGGCCGCTGACTCGAAATGTGTCAGATCTGAATATGTGAGCTGCTCAGTAAATTACATTCCACCTAAAGATGCTCTAACATGTGCCAGGAAGAGTCAAACAGCCAGAGGACAAAAAAGGCAGGTGCTCATGTGGGTTTCTCAGAAAAAGAGCAGATGTGCTGCCTGTTTTACAGCATTTTGCCATTGGCACAGAGTCTTCAACAACTCTGCTGCCTGTACATTTTTAAAAGCATTTAAAGCAGACCAATGAATACCGTGCATTGGTTCTAGCGTTGCAATATTATGTGACAAAAACCTAAAATCCAATGTTTAGCATCTGCAACATTAACTAGATGCATAATATAGTGTCATTTTCTACAAAACTAACAAATATAATAAATTCAATGTGGTATTGTGATTCAGTGGCTTTAGAATACCTCCTCTCTGTCTATTCGACTTTTGTTTATCACCTGCTGTTTTTTTTTGTGTTTACCAGCCCCAGGCTCATTGACATGGGCAAAGTATACCGACAGACCAACCTGGAAAATCTGGAACAGGCCTTCAGTGTGGCAGAAAGAGACCTGGGAGTGACCCGCCTGCTGGACCCTGAAGGTATGGCTTGCCTACAGCAATTTTAACACAAAGAAGACCAGCTCCTGTTGAATGCCATTAAACATGATGCTATTTTAACCTTTCAGATGTTGATGTCCCACATCCTGATGAAAAATCCATCATCACTTATGTTTCATCTCTATATGACGTCATGCCTCGCGTTGATGTCCGCGATGGTGCCAGGGCTAATGTAAGCAGACCACCGAGATTAGCCAAAGCTTTGAAACATACTTTCCATGACACAAAAGTGGAAACTAATGGTCAGATTCATTCTAAAATGAAGACATTTTGTGTCTAAGGTTTCCATATCCAACTGAATGTTTTACATTTTGTTTTGTTACAAACTTATCTACTCCAGGTTTTGTTAGAACTATTGGTAGTACATAAAAAAAAGGGTCTTAATGTTCTCTACTGACCTTTATTTTGAAAGCGGTCTTAACAAGAAATGGGTTAGAGAGAGGACATGCAGCAAGGCACCAGAGGTTGGGGCTCAAACCCAGGACCAATGGTGTGCTACATTACAACACCAACAAAACATTAAGATTTTTGGTGTTTTTCTTTCGGTACTAAGCAGTTTTTACCAACCCTGAGTCTCCCTGTCCGTTTTGGAGAAAAACATCCCCCCAGCTTGGTGCTGCTACTACAAGCCTAAAGTTGGGGGTAATGTGTTCCATGGATCATACAGTTTTTCACCTCACAACGTGTTTTGCATGTAGGCTAGAACCTTCAGTTTTGGTCTCGTATGACCCAAGCACTACCCTTTTTTTCCTAACTATATAGCGTACCTTAAAATAAGCCGTCCCCACATTTGTTTTTTTTTAAACACAAATCAAATGAACATTTTGCCAACAAAAAAAAAAAAAAAAAAAAAAGCCATCATAGTCAGCCGTCCTTCACACACGGCTATGTCGAGAGAAGACTGCTGCAGACGGGCTAGGATTAGCTCTGGCTGCGTTTACCCTCGGAGCTCCGCTCGTTGCTGCGGTCCTCTCAACTTCTACGCATTAAATCGTTAAATGGACCACACAGTGATGCTTTAAAGTAGAATGTTTTTACCTCAAGTGGTCTTTAAATGTACTTTTATTGAACAACGGCAATACAAAAGAGAACTTTTAAGTTAATACTCTGAGTTCTGTGAGAGCTACATTTAAAGCTGCTGCTGCCGCAGTGCATGCTGGGACAGCTGTCAATCTCAAGAACAGACAAGTCTTCTCTGATGCATGCTGGGTAAAGAGGGACGGGCGAGAACAACATCCTGGGACTTTGTCCGTTTTTGGTCTGCTGTTCTTGTGAATTGGAACAGTATTAGGGCTGAAGACGTTAACGAGCACATGAGAACGCACAAGTACACTTATTGAGAAATGGCTTAAGCCTCTGATATCTACTGAACTGTCTCCACTAAACCTGTAGGGGGCACTCTATATATACTTTAGCCCCTAGAGTAGAATGAAGAAGCATGCTAGCTCCCGTTACCTTGTTGCTCGCTGCAGTAAGAGCTCCTACTGAAAGATGGTGCTTCATCAGCTCTTTATTTCAGCTCTGCAGGAGTTGAGCCCTGTCTCTTTTTTGGTTCGGCAGCTTTAATGAGGCAAATAAATGTCAAATTGTGTGAATTCGGAACATTTGTGCTCCTTAGTGTCTGCTGCTAGGATGTTCTTGTGCTCAATAAAAATTAGCCCCTTATTCTTTTATTTCCAATTTTAACTTCCCCCCTCTGGCGTTTAGGAAAAATCCACAAAAAAGCCGCACCTTCTTATAAACTGCATGGTTCAAAGCACAGGGGAAAAAAAATTCTGGCTTATTGTCTGGAAAATACTTTCAATTTTTTAATGGTCCAACAAAATGAGTTTTGGGTTTTTTTTTTTTTTTTTTTCATGAAAAAAATTTATTCTCCCATTTTAATTTTTTAAACCCACAGTGTCTCCAGGACTGACATAAAATTTTTGGTTGTTTCTCTGATTAACACGCCTCTTATGGTCATAAGTTAAGATTTTCATTTTTTATATTCAGGTAATGGGTTGATGCGTGCCTCAATCTATACTTAGAGTTTGGGATATTATTTTAAACTTTGTTCCTGACAGTTTTTGTGGTTTCATATTGCTGTTTCCTCACTGATGTTGTCTAGGAAACCGTTAAGACCTTTACAGAGCGTCATTTAAGTAATACTCTGAAAGTTAACTACAACGTTCATGTATATTTGCTTAATAATAATCAATAGTTTGGAATCATGCCTTTTATTTTGACATGACATCGTATTTTTTTGTAAATCATAAGTTTTGAGGACCTTTAAATGTTGCAGCTTATGCTCCGGTCGTCCATGGTATGACTTAAACATACATGCAGGATGTGTTTTTTGCCAGAAAAGTTGGTTGAGGTGTAGAAATAGTTTTAGTTTCTGCTAGAAATCTGCAGCCTTGAGTCTCTTCCGATTGTTTACCCCTTCACCAGCCTCCTCCTCTAAACACAAGACATAGATTGTTGCCACTAAATTGAATTCAGGGTGGTGTGTTAGCGAACCAAACAAGCCGAATAAGAGCCCTCCTGTTGTTCTCAAACTCTCATGCTCCTTACTGCTGTTCGGCTGCAGGACTTGGAGCTGCGCTGGCAGGAGTACTATGAGCTGGTGACCCTTCTGCTCCAGTGGATCCGCCACCATATCACCATCTTCGAGGAGAGGAAGTTCCCCAGCAGCTATGAAGAGATTGAGGTGAGCCTAAACCTAAAGGTTCTGCTTTTAAGATGGTCTTGAACTGGTTAAGACCCTGTTCAGTTTTTGAGAATGATCTGAAAAATGTTTTCACTGCCGTCCGCTGTTGGATAAAAGAACATATATTAATGTCTATTGGCTGTGTACAGATAAAGACAGCTTTATTCACAGGTTTCATTCTATAGCAGTTTGGGCAGAACCCTTGTTGAGTAAATACTGCTGTTTTAACTGATCCTGAAAAGATCTATCGCCCTGCCACTCCCTGTCTGCACCACCAAACACAAGTACCATTTAATGTTAGGAATGTATTTGTTTGCATTATTAAAGCAGGGGATTTTTTTTAGTAGTGTTATGTGTGTGGCACTCTTGGCCTGCCATCAAAGGTTGTGAATTGATGTTATAGGTTTGATTGCATTTACACCAGTCATGAGAACATGTCCTTTCAGGGAAGAGCTCCATGTGATGTCTGATTAGGCGAATGGTGCATTAATTTAGCAACATTACTGTCAACCCAACACTTACTGCTTAACAAACAGTGTATTATTTGTTGAGCAAGAATAAGAAAAGTTAATTGATTTTCTGGCAAGTCCAAAAGTTGAGCAAATTATTTAATTTTAAAAAGAAATGCATCAAAATAAACGTTAAAAAAAATGCAAAAATGTTTTGGAAATATGGGGGAATTTCTGAAAAGTAACTTTGCACCACATTTTAAAAGTATTTTATGGTCTGCATTGATAGGATCTTTGATAAAGTAGTGAAAGCACTAGAAAAGCCTAGAGATTTTCTCCATCCTTTTCTCCCTGCTTAATAATTTAAGTCTAAACTTTTAAGCATATTTGAATCAAATCTAAAATGTCCCTCAGAAAAAAAAAGACCAACTGTCAAAAGAGGAGAAATAAATCTAAGTGGCGAACCGTACTCAAAAATTTCCCCATTTTGGAATAATAAAGGCATTTTCTGTTCTATTCTATTCTATTCTATTCTATTGTCTAACATTAACTTCTTTCTGTTTATATTCAGCTTCTTTGGCGTCGGTTCTTAAAGTTCAAAGAGACAGAGCTGCCACCAAAAGAGTCTGAAAAGAGCCGCTCTAAACAAATCTATCAGTCATTTGAGGCAAGTCCATTATCCTTTTTTCCACACTGCTGTGTTCCAAACAAAAATCTCACATGAACACCCACGGTTACATATCTGTACTTTTCCACAGAGTGCGGTTCATGCTGGCCAGGTCAAGGTACCCCCCGGCTACCATCCCATCGATGTGGAGAAGGAGTGGGGCCGACTTCACGTGTCCATACTTGAGAGAGAACGACTCCTAAGGATTGAGTTTGAGAGGTGACCATTACATTGTTGGATGCAAATTTTATGTCTTTACCAAAGACAGTGTTTAAGGTGACCAGATGATGGCGGCTGATAATTTTAATATTGAGGTACCTAACTTTTGTAGAACCTAAATTATACATCAGAATAAAGAAAAAAAAAAGAAAAAATATTTTCTCTCCTTGATTACTTTCAACGATCCACATTTTTTTAAATTACGTTTTCAAGTCAAAAACATTTTTTCATATTATTAAAATGTCCTTATCTAAATGATCTGTCCTTATATCACCTGAAGCCCCAGGACAGGACTAAGACCTGCAGTCTAAAACCAAAAACAAAAAATAAATGTTATTTAAATTAAGTGATTGAACAATTATTGCACCACAATGAAAAAACAATATAGATATTAGCCTGTCTGGTCAGGGGAGCTATTAGGAGCTGAGATGTTCATAAAGTTACTTTTTCCTTCATTAGCCCCAAAACTAGACTGAATCTATGCAGGAGAAAGACATAGTAGGCCTGAATTGATAAAAGTAGATCTTCATTTTGGTGATTGGATGTGGAACCCTGGTTAGAGTTAAAGATTTAGATTTAGAAGTTAGATTTTTAAGTTAAGTCTTTCTAAATTAACTTGTTTCCTAAATATTATTGTGTAAATTGAACATTGTCTGCTGGTATCAAATATCTTAATAAAAGACCTGATTGTCTCCAGTTACTGTTAGGTTGTTGCAACTTATTAAGAAATAGATTTATTTCAGTCTGATCAAACTGTTGAGCTGAAGGTAGCTGATAAGCATGAATATTTGGCTTCAATGTGACCTCATGATTTCCCACCTAATGATAAAGGCTGTGTTGAACTGCTCTTACATGTATTGCATTGCTATCCAGATTGGAGAGGCTGCAGAGGATTTTCAGTAAAGTCCAGATGGAGTCCGGGATGTGTGACGATCATCTCAATCATTTGGATAGCCTGCTGCAGAAGGTTTGTGTGTGTGTTTTGTTTTGTTTTTCCTACTAAGATCTTAACCCTTGGGAAAAAAAAAAACATTGCTTGACCACATGACGGTCAGATCATGCTTTAGCCATTTCCCCGTTTGCAAAACATTTCAAATATCTGATTCATTGCTTAGAAACTACAAAGTAGGAGACAACAGAATATGGACAATGTTTATAGAAACAAGGTTGTAGCCCTCACTGCAGCAAACTTTTGTTTGTGTAAAACAACTATTTTAATTGGTTTGAAGAGCTGGAACCTCATATTTTTGATGGCTGTCTTCCTCTCAGGACATCGCTCTGCTGAATGCAGGGAAACCAGCTCAGCACACAGCAGAGGTAGACCGTGAGCTGGACAAGGCAGAAAACACGATCCGCCTGCTTTTTAATGATGTTCAGATGCTCAAGGATGGGCGCCACCCGCAGGCAGAACAGATGTATCGCAGGTAACTTCTACTGCTTCCATAAAAAGAAAAAAAAATGTAAGTGAAGCCAGATAGGCCACAATTCACTAACAGCTTAAAAATATTTTCATATCCTCAGAGTTTACCGTCTTCATGAGCGCCTGGTGAACTTGCGCAGCGATTACAACCTCCGTCTGAAGGCTTCCACTGTCCAGGCCCCCATAACACAGACGCAGCAACAGACCAGTATGAAGGTGCGGCCAGAGATAGATGATGTTACGCTGCGTTATGTCCAAGACCTTCTGGCCTGGGTGGAAGAGAACCAGCGGCGCATTGATAAAGCCGAGTGGGGATCAGATCTGCCTTCTGTGGAGTCCCAGCTGGGCAGCCACAGGGGTCTGCATCAGAGTGTGGAGGACTTCAAATCCAAGATTGAACGTGCCAAATCTGACGAGGTCTGATTCTGAACCTGCAGATCATAATATTCCCACTGTACAGCATGCATTCATATCTCCAGCCTCTCATTTAAAACGGTAACATTTTCTCCACTACAGAGCCAGTTATCACCTATCAGCAAGGGGACGTACCGAGAATACCTGGGAAAACTGGACTTGCAGTATGGCAAACTGCTGGTAAATAACTTATTTTAAACATTCCCTATAATAAATTTGGATTTATTTCTAGATGTATTCAAAATCAACATTATGTTTCAGAACTCCTCTAAATCCCGACTGAGGAACTTAGATTTGCTGCACGGCTTTGTTACCGCGGCGACCAAAGAGCTGATGTGGCTGAACGACAAAGAAGAGGAGGAGGTCAACTATGACTGGAGTGACAGGAACACCAACATGACAGTGAAAAAGGAAAATTACTCTGTAGGTTCATAACTTCTTTCAGCCTCATGGATTTACAGACAGAAACCTTTACCAACTCATTCATTCATCTTACTCTGTCCTTTGGACTTTCTAGGGCCTCATGCGAGAGTTGGAGCTAAGAGAGAAGAAGGTTAATGACATCCAGGCTATGGGAGACAAACTTGTCAGAGATGGACATCCTGGGAAGAAAACCGTTGAGGTGCTTACAAAGGATACAACCTAAATAAAGCATTCGAAAAATAACTCTGTTCCATACCAACCAGGTGTCTTCTTGGTCTCTCCAGGCCTTCACAGCTGCTCTGCAGACTCAGTGGAGCTGGATCCTGCAGCTGTGCTGCTGCATAGAAGCTCACCTTAAAGAAAACACAGCTTATTACCAGGTGGGAACTACATTTGTTAATGTTTACTTTCTTATATCTAGAAGCTACGCTTCATAACTCTGACCAATTTGCGTCTTCTTCTGTTCTAGTTCTTTGCTGATGTAAAAGAAGCTCAGGAGAAGATGAAGAAGATGCAAGAAAGCATGAAGAAGAAATACAACTGCGACCGCTCTACCACTGCCACACGCCTGGAGGATCTCCTGCAGGATGCTGTGGTGGGTTTGATGTTAATATTTAATCACCATCATGTATATTTGATATTTGTTCGAGAACTTTGAGGAAAATATACCCACAGCAAAACAATATGGGAGATATTGGCTTGATTATCATTTTTTCCTTCTAAATAGGAGGAAAAGGAACATCTAAATGAAATGAATACTTTGCTCACTGGACTGAACAAGAGGTCTAAGTCTATCGTCCAGCTAAAACCTCGCAATCCCACCACACCCATCAAAGGCAAGCTGCCCATCCAGGCTGTCTGCGACTTCAAGCAACAAGAGGTGAGATAATTGAATTAAAATATGAGCTTTGGATTCATCAGTATTACTGAGATAGCTCCTAAATATGCATCACATGCTTCAGATCACAGTCCATAAAGGAGAGGAGTGTGCTCTACTCAACAACTCCCAGCCCTTCAAGTGGAAGGTCTTAAATCGCTCTGGAAATGAAGCAGTGGTTCCTTCAGTCTGCTTCCTTGTTCCTCCAGTCAACAAGGAGGCAGTGGACAGCGTATCAAGGTAAAAATAACAACAAAAAACAGAGTTAAAAAGTTTAATTTCTGCCCCTCATACATTTAACCTTATTTTTTAATGTCTTCCCTGCTTTAGTCTGAATTCAAATCTTCAGCAGATGTCCTCCATGTGGCAAATACTTCACATTAACATGAAGAGTCTGCTGTCATGGCAGTACCTGACCAGAGATTTTACACAGATCCGCTCCTGGAACACCAGCATGGTTGGTTTTAACCTTTTAAAGATTTACAGATAAACAAAAACAACGTCTTCCAGCCTAATTTAGATGTTAAATTAGTATTTGCTTTCCCACTATTTTGTTATGTATGTTTATAGCAAGAGGTGCAGAATATTTTACAGACTTATGGGTTTTGGGTTCGGCTCTGATTCTGCCACTGTATTAAGGAATGCTAATATCATATCTTCTTAATATCAGTTATTTAGCAGTACATTATATCAGACTTTATTTTTTTAAACTGTGTAAAACACTGGGAGAGCTTATTTCCCATTAACCTGAACAAGCATTAGCAGCATAAAATTAATTCAGAGCTATACATTTTTTTATTTTTATTTCATGCCGCTCCCTGATGGCATGCCACCCAGGGCATTGAGCCATGCATGAATTATATAATTCTTCTCTTCTGTCTGCAGTTAAAGACCATGAAACCAGAGGAGTACCGACTGGTCATGAGAAACCTGGAGGGCCACTATCAAGACTTCTTGCGTGACAGCCAGGACTCTCAGCTCTTCAGCCCTGCTGACCGTATGCAGGTGGAGGAGGACTACAACAAAGTTAGCCAGCATTTTGACAACCTGCTTCGCTCCATGGAGAAAGGTAAAACTAGGTCTAAACACAAAATGGGTTTTGTTTAAAAAAATGACATCATGGAACCAGATAATGAACAGAAGGTGTAAACACCTCTACAATAAAATTGTCAATTATCCTTCCAGGACAATTTCAGGTTGTTAAACTCAAAGGTGAGTGGCTTTAAGACAGTGGAAGCTACCTCACAGCGGGCTGATTTCAATGCTTTCCAGCTTTGGATGAATGATCAAACACAAACTTTAGTGTGGAGATTAGTGTCGTGTTTGATAGCATGTTGTTTTGGCTCTCAAGCTGCTTTAACATCGGCTCCACAACAGCTGCATTTCATAGCTGTATTGAGTTAAAATCATGAAGGAAAAAGTATTCATACCTTTTATTTATTTTAGTATTTTGTTACATCGGTAGTAAAAATGTTTATGACATTTTTTATTGACAAAAACATCTAAAAGTGCAATGCATGTGTATTTAACCCACTGATCTCTATTTATTCACTGGATTGCTGGTTGGCCCAAAAAAACTGAAGTCACCTGCCGCCATCTTGGTACTCCCTACTCTCACGGAGTCACGTCATAAAAATGCCTGTAATGTAATGTCATTACCATAATCTAATCAATGCGTGTATATTACAGTACATGTACATCATCAATTTAGCACTTTTGGCATATCTGTATTATTATACTCAATTAACAAACTAATTTTGCTGTGATGGATTTGTATAATATATTATATTACATAGTTTATAGACATCATGAACTTCATACTGACTATGCAATGTGATATACATATAACCATAAATCACAGTAAATCTACTGATGCTATTAAACTGCAAGTATGTGTCCAAGTAATGAATTTATCTTTTTTTTTTGTAAAGATTTAAGAACCCCTGAAAATGAGAACATCATTGTTGTTCAATGCTATAGCGCACATATTGTTTACATTCCAACCGGTCTAACTAGGCAGTACCAATATAGTGGCTGATGACTTCACAGCACCATGTACTACCAAAGGCCTATCAGCAATCCAGTGAATAAATAGAGATCAGTGATTTCCCCCCTTTTGTTCTGATACATTGAAGTAAATCCAGTGTGACCATTAAAACTAAACATTATGACGTATACACTACAGTATGCAAAATGCTCTATGGAGGAAAACCCGAAACACAGCAGACCCACCGTAAAATATGGTGGCGGCAGCATCATGCTTTGGGATTGTTTTCTTTAACAAGCTGGCAGTGTGGAGTCAAACACATAACAGGAGAAGAAAACTTGTTCAAGGTTACAAAAGATTGAAATTCTGTATTTTTCCTCTTAGCTGAAGATTTAATTAAAACTACGCAGAACTATTATCTGATTTATATATCTAAGAAAAGAAAACCATTCACATGTTTAATTCTACCTCTTAAGATAATATTTTGCTTCGTTTTTATTAATAACAAATTGTCCAAATGAAATACATTGAGGTGTCTTGCAAAAAAAAAAAGAAGGGTATGAATATCTCACTTTTCTAGGACACTATATGTACTGTTTTTGATACATGCAACGTAGGGTGTGCTATTGAAAAGTGTGTTTCTGAAACATAACACACAGAAAACTGCATGAATTATTTGTTTATATGTTAAATGTAGAAGAATGAAAGGATGGTTTGCCAAGAAAAGAAGAATCTGTTTAAAAATTATCATACATTTTCGATGCAGGTCAACAGGATGAGACTCTGTGCAAGAACTACATTTCTGAGATCAAGGATCTCCGCCTGCGTATAGAGGACTGTGAGTCACAGACTGTGGCTCGCATCCGCAAACCGCTGGATAAAGACCCTCTGAAGGACTGCAGCCAGAAACGAAAAGACCAGCAGGTAAAACTACATGGAAACATTTCAAGTTGCAGATATTCCAATAAAATAGGGAGGAATAACAGCTGGTGAATCAATAATGGGTGCAGGAAAATGTCAAATGGCAGAGATAAGGTTTACCTTTGCAGACCAATACGAGCTAAAATCCTGCAAAGGTGTAACATAAAGGGAGGAGGAAAACGAGGATCAGGAATGATTGCATTTTGGTTTTAATTAAATCTATTTTGGGTTTTCAGTTATGGGGCCTCTAGCTACCTTTCCGCTGCAGATGTACCTGCCCCTCCTCACACATAATTATTCATAACCAAGCTGTGCTTCTGGTTAAGGCTAAGAACCAAATCTCAGAACTGATTGGATTGATTTAACCTTCCCTACAGTTAATTTTGGTAAATTTCTTCCAGTTTTATTCCCTTATTATGTTTCACATTGTTTCCTTTGGTCTACAGAAAGTCCAAGGAGAACTTGAGGGACTTAAGAAGGACCTGGATAAGGTGTCTGTGAAAACACAGCAGGTGTTGGCTTCTCCTCAGCAGCCTGCCTCAGCGCCAGTGCTGCGCTCAGAACTGGATGTTACTGTGCAGAAGATGGACCATGTCCACATGCTCTCTTCTGTTTACCTAGAGAAGTATGTTTTGTTTACTGTTTTTAAAGCTTTACTTATGAAAAGATGATCCAAAGTGCACATTTTATGAATTTGAATGTAGTTTATATGTAGTGTAGCCTGGAAAAACGTAAATGTTTTGAACAGGTCCTTTTCAGGAAGTAGTTCATTTATAACGGCATTTATAATGTCTTCTGTTCTTTAAATTTTGCATTTTTTTCAGGCTGAAGACTATAGACATGGTCATCCGTAACACTCAGGGAGCTGAGGGGGTCCTGAAACAGTATGAGGACTGTTTGCGTGAGGTCCAAGCTGTACCCAGTGACATCAAGGAAGTAGAGACTCAAAGATCAAAGCTTAAGGTAAGGGGATGCTTTTTTTTTAATAAAAAAAATTAATACAAGGTTTTTATATGGTCCTGGACAGTGTGAAAAGTAGTAAAAAAAATCAGTAGATTAGAGAAAATCTATGAAAAATAATTGAGTTTGTTTTTTTATTTCTTTTTTAACCTAAAATCTTAACGGAAGTTGGATTTCAAATTAGTAAAAGATTGTTGCATTTGATTGTTATTGACTTGAACATCGGAAATGAAGCTTTTGTTTAAGTCACTGATTATTTTGTTTGTTGACGACAGAAGAACCATCAGAACAAATTGTTTGAAAAGTCCAAATTGTGCTGCCATCTTACAGTTATTTGGCTTTTTAACTCTCATATTTGCAGTTCATGGCAGTAAAACAACCTGTCCTCAACTTTGTAACAGGTGTAAACCTTTAGCCTCCTAAAAGCCATTGTGGTATTAAATGATTTGTGCTCAAGCTTTGTACAATTTACAGTAGCAGACACCGCCCAAACAATCTAAGAATCACAGTTTAAAAGACAATTGAACCTAAAAAAAAAAAGTATAATATATTTGAAAAAGTCAGAAACTTTGTAAGAGGAGATTATGTGATCTAAAGTACTATTTTGATTATGAAATGTGAAGTTTTAATTGCATGGATTGATTTTCAGAAAATGCGAGCTGAGGCTGAGAGTGAGCAGCCGGTGTTCGACTCGTTGGAGGAGGAGCTGAAGAAAGCCTCCACCGTCAGTGACAAGATGTGCCGTGTGCACACTGAGCGAGATATTGAGCTGGACCACTATCGCCAGCTGACCACCAGTCTCGAGGACCGCTGGAAAGCCGTGTTCACCCAGATTGACCTTCGCCAGAGAGAGCTGGAGCAGCTCGGCCGACAGCTCGGCTACTACCGTGAGAGCTACGACTGGCTCATCCGCTGGATAGCCGATGCCAAGCAAAGGCAGGAGAAAATCCAAGCTATGCCCATCACAGACAGTAAAACTCTCAAAGATCACCTGGCACAGGAGAAGGTAACTTGAAAAGTTTTGTACAGCAACAACCTTATTTCCTTGTCTGCGTAAGAGATTATTATGCTTAACTTTTGAATTAATCTTCTTTTAAACAGAAACTGCTGGAGGAGATTGAACAGAATCAAGGAAAAGTTGATGAGTGTCAAAAGTATGCCAAAGCATACATTGATACAATCAAGGTGAGCGTCAGAGAGATAATGGCAGCATAATCGTGGGGCATGAAATTATTATAACTCATTTTTTTTATTCTAACAGGACTATGAGCTGCAGTTGGTCGCCTACAGAGCTCAGGTGGAGCCTCTCGCTTCTCCTCTGAAGAAGGCTAAACTCGATTCTGCCTCTGACAACATCATTCAGGAGGTATGTTTCTCAAACCAAAGCTATATGTTGTGTAAATGAAAAAGCATTAGAGATAGAAAGAGACCAAGTCAATGTTCTTCAACAGTCAACAGTTTTTTTTAACTATCCTAAATAACTTTATCAGCCCAGTTATTGAAAATAGCGTTACATTTGCGGCATCCTTCATTATTATGAATATAGATTATGGCCTCAACTAAGACTTTCAAATGCTTGTCATCCTTATTAAAAATATCAAAATGTTCCAAAAAAAAGGCAAAAGATTTTACTTTTACTGCATCTTAACCTTCTTGTTATCTTTTCAAACCTTGGCTCTCTCTAACTGGAATGTGCCACTATCATATTTTGAAAGTCTGTCGTTTTTTTTATTTCTTATTTATAGCTAAGTTCACTTTAAGCCATCCCCAATTATGTTGCATTTAATGTTAGGAAAAAGTTTTTGAGTTTTTAGATCAGTTTACTGAATCTTAACAGAATATTAATTGGTTTGCTGAAGTTTATTTGCTTCCTTGTGTTCTTTGTTTTTTCCACATTAGTATGTAACTCTAAAGACTAAGTACAGCGAGCTGATGACTCTTACAAATCAATACATCAAGTTCATCATCGACATGCAGCAACGTTTGGAGGACGAGGAGGTACGTGGCAACTGGCTGAGGATCCCAAACAAACTAAACACTAACACTAACCACGAAAACAACCTCACCAAGCAAATATTCACTACACCAGAAAACACACGGCACAGAGTTCCTACTTATCACCAAAATACACACAGACACCCCAACACACCCATACGCACAGACACACCCCCATACAGACAGACTGATTCCCAGTTTTGCTGTTCTCCTCACCGACTAACATTTAATGTTTGGGAAACAAATTCCTTTTCACTGGTTATGCATGAAAAAATGGCATCCTGTAGCTTTTCTGTTAGCAAGAATGATAATGATTTTGAAAGATGTTATATTAATATTCTTAAAAATAAAAAAGGACCTCAATTTATGTTTTCCATCAAATGCAAGGGATGTGTTTTGAGTGTGTTTATTCCTAAATAAATAATGCATCAAATAACAGGAATGTTCACCAATACTGAGCGGCCTCTGATTTTCTGTATTTTTCAATATCCTGAGTCACAGTTTTTAAAACTTCTTTTTAAGACTCCATGTCACAGCATACTTTTGCATATATGAAGGACGCCCTTTATTTGTAAAATCCATAGATTACTTATAAAATGATCTAGTGAAAACATCTTTCTCTAAGTTTCATAATCTCTCAAGAAGCCTGAAGAAACACTGCTTTACAAAACATCTGCTGACTTGGAAGCTAACTGCAAAGAAAAACAGGGGTGACTCATTATTATTTTACTATAGGTTATCTAAAGTCTTCAACAAAATTTCTCAATGTCTAAATTACATGAATCGAGCACATTTTATACAGACACATACATGCATATTAATTTCCATTCATTTTCTATTTATTTCTGTGTTCTATTTCTATTTTTTGGCGGATTTTATATGGGGAGTGCTTTCTTTCACTTGTTTTGGTTCCTGCTCACCTCTCGTTTTCTCTCCTATGAGTCACTTTTTGTTTAAGTTGGCTAAATTTAAGTTCCAGTCTTTTCCCCACCTCTGTTATTCTCATATTAACACCATTAAAAAACACACACATTCTCTTCTAACCCAATGTTTTGTTTGTGTCATTGCTTCCGTTAACTGCTTGCCAGTGCTTTACCATGTTTGAGCATTTAAGAGGTAAACTTGTTGCTGTCTCAGGTACTTATCCGATGTATATACCTTATTCCTTCCATTTATGTCGTATTTTGGCTTTTTACTGCATGTTTTTTTATATATCTATTTTTTTTTTTTAACCAGAGATGCACTGATCAAAATATTATTTTGCTGTTGAAATTTGAATTTTTTTGTATTGTTATAAAACGCAAACAAATTGATCACAAAATTAACATTTGAACCTTTCTTTTGCTTCTTAGTTACTGGTAATTAACATAGGTAGTGTAGCTAGCACAATTAAAACGGCAGCATGTCTTCTAGGGAATGCAACTCCGTATCTTTAGGATTTCCAAAAGGCTGCCGGTGATTTAAAATCATGAAGTATTCCTTATCTGAAGTTAGAAGTGTTCTTTAACTAAAGCTCTAAAGGGTAAAACCAAGTAATTTGGGTGTATAGTGTTTTTTTGTTTTTATCTGTTAAAAGTTCTACCCTCCCCCATTTCTTCCCTAGCTATATAAATGAGCTGCAGACATTTCTCAAAGGGCCTTAAATATGCTGTTGGGTTTTTCAAACAGCCTTTAACACATTTAAGTTTTCTCTCTCTTTGAAATATATCAGTAGTACTAAACTATCTAAGTTCACAGTTAGAAAGAGATTGTATTTTTTTCTCCAGCTAGTTTTTCAGTGCATCTCTAGTTTTGGTGGAAGTCTTACAAGTTCAACACCTTGTCTTTGATATCTATTCTAACAGCCTTTGTAAAAGCGTTCAGCTTTTGATACCAATCCCTCTGAAACACATTCCAGTGTTTTTACAAAACTTGTCTCAACTAACATGAATGTTTCATCTTTGACTTTGCTTAACCCTTTACCTCCACTAAGTCACAACAGCGATTTAAAGAACTCCCAGTGCATGTGTTCGAAGTGTAGATATGACTTTAATAAAAAGCTTGTAGGGATAAGGAGTTTTAGGAAGTTGGCTAAATGCTTTACACACACATACAAATACATAAACATGCTGGTATGAAACTGAAAGCAATCAGTTGACTGATCTCATCAGTTACTATTTTGAAATACTGTGGATTATTTGTATCCTGGTTCAAACATCGGCTCCTTAATAATTTCCGAAAGAGAATGCTACAGCTACATTTGCATGCCATGATTTTCTTGCTGTGTTGTGAAGTGATATTTTGTTCCCTTACATTAATTTAATCATTCACGTTCCTCTGTTTGCTCTGATTTGTCTTGTCATGATTGATTTTTGATTGCATCGTGAATTTAACATCACTATAATGAATGTGCATCTAATTTGCATCTAGTAATTGAACTCTTTCTTGAGCTAATTTTAACCTTAACACTGCCTAGGTAATACATCACATTTACTGGCTCTTAAACAGTGAGTTAAGGCTGTCATAGAAACAGTTTTAATAATTGTATTCCACACTGTTTTGAGCTGGTCAATGTTAGGTATTACCTTTAACCTATCATGCTTGATTATAATCCTTTCTTTACCATTTTGCTTCCACTAATGCAGAAAGCTGCACAGAAACTCAAAGCAGAAGAGCAAAAAAAGATGGCGGAGATGCAGGCTGAGTTAGACAAACAGAAGCAGTTAGCTGAAGCTCAAGCAAAGGCCGTTGCTAACGCTGAGAAAGAGGCCCGTGAGCTGAAGCTGAAAATGCAGGAAGAAGTAAACAGGAGAGAAGTTGCTGCTGTAGATGCGGAAAACCAAAAGCAAAACATCCAGCTGGAGCTATGTGAGCTTAAAAACCTCTCAGAGCAACAAATCAAAGACAAAAGCCAGCAAGTGGATGAAGCTCTTCAAAGTAGACTCAAGATTGAAGAGGAAATCCGTCTTATAAGACTTCAGCTTGAGACAACAGTAAATCAAAAGGCTACCGCAGAATCTGAGGTCAAGCAACTTCGAGATAGAGCTGAGGAAGCAGAAAAACTCAGAAAGGCTGCCCAGGAGGAGGCCGAAAAGCTCCGTAAGCAGGTCAGCGAGGAGACACAGAAAAAGCGCATAGCCGAGGAGGAACTTAAGCGCAAATCTGAGGCAGAGAAGGAAGCAGCGAAACAAAAACAAAAAGCCCTTGAGGACCTTGAAAACCTCAGAAGGCAGGCTGAAGAAGCTGAGAGACAAGTCAAGCAAGCAGAGGTTGAAAAAGAAAAACAAATCAAAGTAGCTCATGAGGCAGCCCAGAAGAGCGCTGCTGCTGAACTCCAGAGCAAACACATGTCATTTGCAGAAAAGACCTCCAAATTGGAGGAATCACTCAAGCAAGAGCACGGCGCCGTGCTTCAGCTACAACAAGAAGCAAATCGTCTCAAGAAACAACAAGAGGATGCAGAAAACGCCAGAGAAGAGGCTGAAAAAGAACTTGAAAAATGGAGACAGAAAGCCAATGAAGCCCTTCGTCTAAGACTCCAAGCTGAAGAAGAAGCACACAAAAAGACTGTAGCCCAAGAAGAAGCCGAAAAACAAAAAGAGGATGCAGAACGGGAGGCAAAGAAGAGAGCCAAAGCTGAAGAGTCCGCTCTGAAGCAGAAGGAAATGGCAGAGCAAGAACTTGAGAGGCAGAGGAAGGTAGCTGAGAGCACAGCTCAGCAGAAGCTCACAGCAGAACAGGAGCTCATTCGACTGAGGGCAGATTTTGACAATGCAGAACAACAGAGATCCTTGCTTGAGGATGAACTCTATCGTCTGAAAAATGAAGTCATTGCTGCACAGCAACAAAGAAAAGAACTAGAAGATGAACTGGCCAAAGTGAGGAGCGAGATGGATTTACTTATTCAGTTGAAGTCTAAGGCGGAAAAGGAGTCTATGTCCAACACAGAGAAAAGTAAACAACTTCTTGAAGCAGAAGCCTCCAAGATGAAGGACCTTGCTGATGAAGCAAGTCGACTCAGAGCCATTGCAGAGGAAGCCAAGCATCAGCGGCAAATTGCAGAGGAAGAAGCAGCTCGGCAGAGAGCGGAGTCTGAGCGGATTCTCAAAGAGAAGCTTGCTGCGATCAGTGAAGCAACCCGCCTTAAAACAGAGGCTGAGATTGCGTTGAAAGAGAAGGAGGCAGAAAATGAGAGGCTCAGGCGCCAAGCTGAGGATGAGGCTTACCAGAGGAAATCCCTCGAGGACCAGGCAAACCAGCACAAGCAAGACATAGAAGAAAAGATAGTCCAGCTTAAAAAGTCATCGGAGGTTGAAATGGACAGACAACGAGCATTAGTGGATGACACGCTCAAACAGAAGCGGATTGTTGAAGAAGAAATCCGAATCCTTAAGCTTAACTTTGAAAAGGCTTCATCTGGAAAACTCGATCTTGAGCTAGAACTTAACAAGCTGAAAAACATTGCAGAAGAAACTCAACAAAGCAAGCTTAGAGCTGAAGAGGAGGCTGAGAAGCTGAGGAAGCTTGCCCTGGAGGAAGAGAAGAGGAGAAGAGAAGCAGAAGAAAAGGTCAAGAAGATTGCCGCTGCAGAAGAAGAGGCGGCCAGACAACGCAAGGCAGCCCAAGATGAGCTTGAACGTCTGAAAAAGAAAGCAGAAGAAGCCAGAAAGCAGAAAGATGAAGCTGATAAAGAAGCTGAGAAACAGATTGTTGAAGCCCAACAAGCTGCCCTCAAATGCAGTGCAGCAGAGCAGCAAGTGCAAAGCGTCCTTGCTCAACAGAAAGAGGACAGCTTAATGCAGAAGAAGCTTAAGGAAGAGTATGAGAAAGCCAAGAAGCTTGCTAAAGAGGCAGAGGCGGCTAAGGAAAAGGCAGAAAGAGAAGCAGCTCTTCTTCGTCAACAAGCAGAGGAGGCAGAAAGACAAAAGGCTGCTGCTGAGCAGGAAGCCATCATCCAAGCCCAAGCTCAGGAAGATGCTGAGAGGTTGAGGAAGGAGGCTGAATTTGAAGCTGCTAAGCGAGCACAGGCAGAGGCTGCAGCTCTCAAGCAGAAACAACAAGCCGATGCTGAAATGGCAAAGCACAAAAAGCTGGCTGAGCAAACACTTAAACAGAAGTTTCAAGTGGAACAAGAGCTGACAAGGGTTAAACTTCAGCTTGATGAAACGGATAAACAGAAGTCTGTCCTGGATGATGAGCTCCAGCGCCTTAAGGATGAAGTTGATGATGCTGTCAAGCAAAAAGCCCAGGTGGAAGATGAACTGTTCAGAGTTAAGGTTCAGATGGAGGAGCTACTCAAACTAAAATTGAAAATTGAGGAGGAAAACCAGCGGCTAATCAAAAAGGACAAAGATAACACTCAAAAGTTCCTTGCTGAAGAGGCTGAGAATATGAAAAAGCTTGCAGAAGATGCTGCTAGGCTCAGTGTTGAGGCCCAAGAGGCTGCTCGCTTAAGACAGATTGCAGAAGATGATCTCAACCAGCAGCGAGCACTGGCAGACAAAATGCTCAAAGAGAAAATGCAAGCCATTCAAGAGGCATCCAAACTCAGAGCTGAGGCTGAGATGCTCCAAAAGCAGAAAGATCTAGCTCAAGAGCAGGCTCAAAAGCTTCTAGAGGATAAACAGCTGATGCAGCAGCGTCTAGAGGAGGAGACGGAGGAGTACCAGCGAACACTTGAAGCAGAAAGAAAAAAGCAAATTGGTATCTTGGCTGAAGCTGAAAAACTAAAACTTCAGGTCTCTCAGCTCAGTGATGCTCAGGCCAAAGCTGAAGAAGAGGCCAAAAAATTCAAGAAACAGGCTGATACCATTGCAGCCCGCCTTCACGAGACTGAAATCGCAACAAAGGAAAAAATGACTACTGTCGAAAAACTGGAATATGAGAGACAAAACACAAGCAAAGAGGCTGATGATTTACGCAAAGCAATCGCAGACCTAGAGAATGAGAAGGCTAGACTGAAAAAAGAGGCTGAGGACCTTCAAAATAAATCAAAAGAGGTATTGTGTCAAAAATGACATAGCAAAGCAGCTTATGTCATTGTCAATACTGTCTAAATACTAACCCATGTCCTTCCTAAAATTGTTTTTCTTTCTTTGATTATACTAATCACAAATCAGTACTTTTCAATTATGTTATGATTTTACTTTTAATATTCTTACAATGCACTGTGCTCATGCAGATCATATCCTGAATGCCTCCTGATGCCCTGGAATGTTTTCCCATTTTAAGACCTGTCTCATTTTCTGTTAATCTCATGTTTGACTTTAAACTCAAATGCTATAAACTAGTTTGGAAAGGCCAGTTTAAAATGACAAAACCGTTTGAGTGAAAGATAAAAAGCAATTCATTGGTTGACAGGGATTCCAAAATCCACAACACCAATAACTTGGCGAATTAAAATTTTTCCCATTTGTCTACCAAAAAGAACATATATCTACGTATCCATGTTCAGCAAAATTAAATAGATTTTTCTGAATCCGTGACTTAAATATCAGCTGAACTTTTTGCAAGTTAAGCTGATACCTGAATGATGTTTTTAGCTTGTTTGAGTAACTAGATTTGTCCCTCCTACAATAATCATTAGCGACTGTTAACTTGAACAAATTTCTTGACATGCATATAACCTAAAATCCAAGAATCATCTATCAGCCTTTTACCAGAATTATTATTATGACCATTATTTGGATATCCAGCTTGTTTTAAAATGGCCATTTACAAGACAGTCATGGTTCTCACTATTTCAATAACTAAAGATGAGATTTAAAAGAAAAGTTCTCAAAAAAGACATACAAGATTTGTTTTTAATGATTATTTGTTTAAAGTGTAGCTAAACTCAATGTAGAAACTCCCCCACACAAATGTTGCTAACTTCCAATAAAGTCAATCATGCTAAGAGACACAGAGGGTCCAACTGTGGGTATTAGCAGATGGGGCTAAATGTGTGTTTGGACAGAAGGAGGAAGAGTGATACGAATTTGACGTGACAAATGCCTAAAATAAGACGTTCTGCTGATGTAGGTACTACGATGCCCACCCGAAAAATGCTATTGATTAATACTCCCAACAAATGCATTTAAAAATCGTGACTAGCTTCAGGGGTTTGTCTAATTTAAAAGGTTTTATGGTGCACTCCATTTGTGCTCAAAGTCAAAATACGACACAGATTTTTTAATTTTTTTTTTTTTTTTTTTTCTTGTACCATCAGCCAAACAGTTGAGAATTAAGCGCCCACAAGTGGGAAACTGGAACATTATCACATCTGAGATAATGTCAATCTGACTTCTGAGTTCTGAACTAAATATAATGCCCTGTTATACCCAAATCCAAAATGGTAGACAATGGTAGACCAAGCTGAACTAATAGGAAAATGAGCTGTAGCAGCCACATTATATAGAGGGCAGCTCTCATACAGTTTTAAACCAAATATTTCAAAATTAAATAAGATTACACAAAATTCCCAAGGTTTGCTAAGTAACATGAACATACTCTACTGCAAAAAGAGAATTTTGGATTTACCGTAGTTGCTATTTAAAACCTTCAAAAATAATAAGGTATTTTTTTCTAACACATTGCAGTGTAATTAACATTATTACTATTGCTGTTCATTTTAAACAAAATGAAATGCAAAATAAATTACTAAAGCAAGTTTTTCATAATCACATAATTATTCTTAGCTTAATTACATATATAGTAACATAGTTATGAGGTTTGTACAGTCCACTGTAATGCCTCGCTAACATAAAATATGATAACACTGTTATGGCTTATATTGTCTTTATAAAGCTTCTGCATTTCTGTTGTTTTACTATAATATAAGTAAAAAGTTAAAGTCGTCTTTTGTAGAAGCTTCATTCTATTCATTTTTAACAAGCTTGAGTAACAGTAATTTTAATTGTTTGGATTCATACTGGATAATTAACATTAACAATAGTTAATAAATAGCTGCCAAGGCTGATTAAAAAAACAAAACTTGTATTTGTTCTGCCCGCCCACTGAAGCAAGTGAGTCTAATCTGCATAGTGAATTAACCTGTGCAGATTGGACTCACCTGGTTAATGCTTTTAAGTACAACTTGGATTGTTCATCACTTAAAAGGGATTGTTATTTCAATATGTCTATTAAAACCAAAACTACCAGCCTTCGTTAAACTTTTATAAATGTCTTCATTTTCAGTCACTCCTGGTCAAACTTTAACACTTAACATCTAAAATATTTAACTCTTAGAACCTTAGACTGAATCACCCAAGTGGTTGAACTAAGTCCAATCTATAATACACTAATCCTTTATGTAATATTTGAACAAACGTATGAAAAACTGATATTCTAATTAGATTGGAAACAAATTGGGTTCAAAAACTTGGCTTCTTGTGTAGAGAGAGTTCTTTGTATGTGATTCAACAGGTATTCAAAATAAGTCCAAATTATACTTTTTTTTTGTTTCATCTATTTGTTCTCATTTGTTGCATCGTTACTCTCTGAGTAGATTGAGACTATATTTTTTATATATATCTAATTTAAAAATAGAACAAATAAGCAAATCTGTGGGGAATATAACGAAGGAACTATATAAAAGAATGCATCGTGGTTTTTGTGAAATTGTAAAATAACATTTAGGGGGTATAACCAATTTAGTATGATAAGCGTTAAACTCTTTTATGTCTATTCTTCCGCCATACATTCTTCTCAGTCCTGCCATTCAGTGTTAAACTAGGTCAACATTAGTAAAAAGACAGTTTGATCTTCTAGTGCACAAGCAGAGTGCATTGTACAGAACCTGGTTATTGCAGATTCACCAACAAAAAAAAAGTTTGCTTTTTTGACACTAAACATGAATGCAATAATCCTGTTGTAACTAATTTTTTTCTGTTTCTCCATTAGATGGCTGATGCACAGCAAAAACAAATTGAGCATGAGAAGACTATGCTTCAGCAGACATTCTTGACAGAAAAGGAGCTACTTTTGCAGAAGGAGAAGCTTATTGAGGAGGAAAAGAAGAGACTGGAAAGCCAGTTTGAGGAGGAAGTAAGAAAGGCAAAAGCTCTAAAAGATGAGCAAGAACGCCAGAGACAGCTGATGGAAGAGGAGAAGAAGAACCTTTTAGCTACCATGGACGCAGCACTTAGCAAACAGAAAGAGGCAGAGCAAGAGATGATTAACAAGCAAAAAGAAATGCAAGAACTAGAGAGAAAGAGATTAGAACAAGAACGGATTCTTGCCGAAGAAAACCAGAAATTACGTGAAAAATTGCAGCAGCTTGAAGCCCAAAAAGAAACTAATATTAACACTGTTCCAGGCAAAGAGCATGTCCATTTGACAACAGTTGAAATAACAAAGACAATTTATAATGGTCAAGCCATTGACACTGTAGATGGTGTAGAAAAGAAACCAGATCCTTTAGCTTTTGATGGCATCCGTGATAAGGTACCAGCAAGCAGACTCCATGACCTTGGGCTTTTACCCAAGAAGGAGTTTGACAAGCTTAAAGATGGCAAAACCACTGTTCAGGAGCTTAGTAAAACTGAAAATCTCAAACAAATTCTTAGAGGAAAGCAGGCAATTGCTGGTATTTTAACACCAAATAATCAAAAAATGTCAATTTATCAAGCTTCAAAGGAAAAAATGATTACTCCAGGTACAGCAATGATCCTCCTTGAGGCACAGGCAGCCACAGGTTACATGTTAGATCCCATTAAGAATCAGAAACTTACTGTTAATGAGGCAGTCAAGGAAGGTTTGATTGGCCCTGAACTACATGACAAAATGCTTTCAGCCGAAAGGGCTGTTGTTGGCTACAAAGATCCCTACACTGGTGGAAAGATCTCTGTTTTTGAAGCAATGAAGAAAGATCTGATAGACCGTGACCATGCAATCAGAATCCTTGAAGCCCAGCTTGGCACTGGTGGCATTATTGATCCTGTCAACAGTCATCGTGTTCCCAATGAAATAGCCTATAAACAGGGACAGTACGATGCAGAAATGAATAAGATAATGGCAAAACCATCAGATGATGCAAAGGGATACTTTGACCCCAGTACTCAGGAACCACTGACATATTCTGAGCTTATGGCAAGATGCACTGCTGACCCAGACACCAATCTGTTAATTCTGCCAATCACAGAAAAAGCAGCTCAGTGCTCCAGTATTTACACAGAAGAAGAGACAAAAGATGTTTTCAGCAAAACAACAGTATCTGTACCCTTTGGAAGATTCAAGGGTAAAACCGTCACAATTTGGGAGATAATAAACTCAGAATATTTCACGGAAGATCAGAAGAAGGACCTTCTTCGGCAGTACAAGACAGGCAAAATAACCATTGAAAAAATAATAAAGATTGTTATTACTGTGGCTGAGGAAAAGGAGAAGAAAAAGGAAATTACCTTTGATGGTTTGAGAACACCTGTTCCTGCCAGTGAGCTCCTGGAATCTAAAGTCATTGATAATGATCTTTATAACAAATTGCTAAAGGGCAGTGTGTCAGTTAAGGATGTCTCAGAGTTGAAACCAGTTCACAAAGCGCTCCAGGGTACAGACTGCATTGCAGGGGTACTCATTAACTCATCAAAGGAGACAATGTCATTTTATCAAGCTATGAAGAGGGACATCATGAGAGCAGGACTTGCTTTGAAATTGCTTGAAGCCCAAGCAGGATCGGGCTACGTGGTTGACCCTGTGCAAAACCAAAAGTACACTGTTGATGAGGCGGTCAAAGCTGGGGTTGTTGGTCCTGAGCTGCATGAAAAGCTCCTGTCTGCGGAGAGAGCAGTTACTGGTTACAAAGATCCTTACACTGGAAACACTGTCTCTCTCTTCCAAGCAATGAAGAAAGATCTTATTCCAAAAGAGCAAGGTATCAGACTGCTAGATGCCCAAATGACCAGTGGTGGAATCATTGATCCAGTAAACAGCCATCGCATACCTCATGATGTTGCTTGCCAGAGAAATTACTTAGATGATGATATGAAACAGCGTCTACACAGTCCAACTGATGAAACTAAGTGTTTCTTTGATCCAAACACAAAAGAAAATGTCACATACTCACAGTTGTTTGAAAGATGTGTTACTGACAAGAAAACTGGTCTTAAGCTTCTTCCACTTAGTGATGAAGCAATCAATGATAAAGAAGAATCAACATACACTGAGGCCCAGGCAAAAGAGGCTATGACACAGGCAACTCTGGAGCTTGATCATGGACCATTTAAAGGCAGAAAGATGACACTCTGGGAAATAATCAACAGTGACTATTTCACTGAAGAACAGAGATTAGAACTGCTTAGACAGTTTAGAACAGGAAAAGTTACAATTGAAAAGATTATTAAGATCATGATCACCATTGTAGAAGAGAAGGAGGCCATGAAAAAGGAACAATCCAGCTTTAAGGGACTCCGAGATTATGCTCCAGCGGACTCCCTTTATGACTCCAAAATAATTGACAAAACAACCTTTGACCTTCTTCAAAAAGGCAAAACAACACCTAAGAAAGTCAGTGAGGATCCACAAGTAAGTAAATACCTCCGGGGCACTGAAAGTATTGCTGGAATCTACCTGGACCCAACAAATGAAAAAATTAGTATTTATCAGGCCATGAAGAAAAAACTTCTTAGGCACAACACTGGCCTTTTGCTTCTCGAGGCTCAGGCAGCCACTGGTTTCATGGTAGATCCAGTGAAAAACCAATGTCTTTCAGTAGATGAGGCAGTGAAGGCAGGACTTGTTGGTCCAGAGCTCCATGAAAAACTCCTCTCTGCAGAAAAAGCTGTCACAGGTTACAAAGATCCATTCACAGGAAAGAAAATCTCTCTTTATGAAGCAATGCAAAAAGATCTTATACTCAGAGAACATGCCATCCCCCTGCTGCAAGCACAGATGTTCAGTGGTGGAATCATTGATCCTGTAAACAATCACCGTGTACCAACAGATGCTGCATACCAAAGGCAAATTTTCAGTAAGGAAGTGGCCAAGACCTTGTCTGAATCTTCAGTTGAAAGCAAGCCTTTCTCCGATCCAGAAACTGATGAGAATGCAAGTTACAAGCAACTTAAAGACAAATGCAAAAAAGATAAAGACACAGGCCTGTACATCCTTCCCCTCTCCAAACCCCAGTCTCCAACTGTTGTGGAGAAGACATATCTTTATACAGAAGAACAAACTCAGAGTGATCTTACCAGCACCCAGATTGACATTCCAATTGAGGGCCTTGCTGATAAGCCAATGAACCTCTGGGATGTCATGAACTCAAATTTGCTTCCAGAGCAGGAGAGGGAGAAACTCTTGGAAGAATACCGTTCTGGCAAAATCACTAAAGAACGGATGATCATCATTATAATTGAGATAATGGAGCAAAGAGAAGTGATCAGAAATGACAGTGCATTGTCGTATAAGACCATAAGAAGAAGGATAACTATTGAGGAGCTCTACAGTGCCCGCATCATTGATCTGGAGACATACAACCTTCTGAAACAGGGCAAGAGAGATATTTGTGATATAATGGAGATGACCAGTGTAAAACAGTATCTCTATGGCACAGGCTGTGTTGCTGGTGTCACAACAGACTCAAGCTCCAAGATTAGCATATATCAGGCAATGAAAAGAGGTTTTATTAAACCAGAAATAGGCCTCAGTCTCTTGGAGGCACAAGCTGCAACAGGCTTTATTATTGACCCAATAAAGAATGAAACACTCACTGTTGATGAAGCTGTTCGTAAGGAAGTTGTTGGACCCGAGATCCATGACAAACTGCTTTCAGCTGAAAGAGCTGTCACTGGATACAAGGATCCATACAGTGGGAAGATCATATCTCTTTTCCAGGCCATGAAAAAGGATCTTGTTCCAGAGGATTATGCCCTAAAAATGTTGGAGGCGCAAACTGCTACTGGAGGCATCATTGATCCAGAATTCCAGTTTCATCTTCCAGCTGACATTGCATTGCAAAGAGGTTATATTAACAAGGAAACCAATGAGAAGCTGACAGACAATGTCAAGGGTTTCATCGATCCAGTTACAGATGAACAACTGTCATACGCCCAGCTCCTCAAAAGATGCAAGTTAGAAGGTGGATTGCGCCTACTGTCCTTGGGAGATAAGAGACTAACATTCAAGGGATTGAGAAAACAGATCACAATGGAGGAGCTGATTCGATCACAAATTATTGACCAGCAGACTGTCACTGAATTGAATGAGGGCCTACTTTCAGTGGAGGAAGTTAGCAATAGACTCTCAAGATATCTCGAGGGCACAGGGTGCATTGCTGGTGTGTTCTTGGAGTCAAACAAAGAGCGTCTTTCCATTTACCAGGCCATGAAGAAAAACATGATAAGACCAGGCACTGCATTTGAACTGCTTGAGGCTCAGGCGGCCACAGGATATGTCATTGATCCAATCAAGAACCTGAAACTGACTGTAAATGAGGCTGTAAAGATGGGAATTGTAGGTCCAGAATTCAAAGACAAGCTTCTCTCTGCTGAGCGTGCAGTGACAGGGTATAGAGATCCATATTCAGGCAAGACGATCTCTTTGTTCCAGGCCATGAAAAAGGGACTCATCTTGAAAGATCATGGAATCCGTCTCCTGGAAGCTCAGATTGCCACCGGTGGAATAATTGACCCAGAAGAAAGTCATCGTTTACCCGTTGAAATAGCCTACAAACGTGGATTCTTTGATGAAGAAATGAATGAAATTCTGACTGACCCATCAGATGACACCAAGGGTTTCTTTGATCCTAATACTGAAGAAAATCTTACCTATCTTCAGCTTATGGAAAGGTGTATTACTGATCCTGACACTGGCCTTGTGCTCCTGCTACTGAAAGAAAAGAAGCGGGAAAGAAAGACCTCCTCCAAATCATCTGTCCGTAAACGCAGAATTGTTATTGTAGACCCAGAGACAGGCAAAGAGATGTCTGTATATGAGGCCTACAGGAAAGGGCTCATTGACAACCAAACATACCTGGAGCTCTCTGAACAGGAGTGTGAATGGGAGGAAATCACAATGACCTCCTCTGATGGCACTGTAAAATCCATTATTATTGACAGAAGATCAGGTAGACAGTATGACATTGATGATGCTATTTCACGCGGACTTATTGACCAGAATTCCCTTGATACATATAGAGCTGGGAACCTGTCCATCACAGAGTTTGCAGACATGCTTTCTGGAGGTATGGGAGGCTTCCGTTCACGCTCATCCTCATTTGGTTCTACATCTGGTTCCACTTACTCCACTTCCATGAGCCCCATACCCTCCACTAAACCCCCTGCTGTAATATGGAATGACCCATCAGAAGAGACAGGACCTATAGCAGGAATATTGGACATAGATACACTAGAGAAGGTTTCTATTACTGAAGCTATGCACAGAAATGTATTAGACAACATTACAGGCCAAAGACTGTTGGAGGCCCAAGCCTGCACAGGAGGAATACTTGATCCCACGACTGGGGAGAAACTGACAGTTGCTGAAGCTACAGAGAAAGGCTTGGTTGATAAGGTTATGGTTGATCGCCTCAATCTGGCACAAAAAGCTTTTAATGGATTTGAAGACCCAAGAACTAAAGTAAAAATGTCAGCTTCTCAGGCTCTAAAGAAAGGCTGGTTGTATTATGAAGCTGGTCAGCGTTTCCTTGAGGTTCAATATTTGACAGGTGGACTTATCGAGCCAGATATTCCAGGCCGAGTGTCTCTGGATGAATCCATCAGAAAAGGAACAATCGATGCCCGAACTGCCCAAAAACTAAGAGATGTCAGTGCCTATTCAAAATATCTAACATGCCCAAAAACTAAGCTGAAAATCTCCTTCAAAGATGCCATGGACAGAAGCATGGTTGAAGAAGGCTCTGGTATGAGGCTTCTAGAAGCCTCCTCACAGTCTAGCAAAGGGCTCTACAGTCCCTACAATGCCAGTGGCTCTGGATCTGCATATGGCTCTCGGACTGGGTCAAGAACCGGATCTCGTACAGGCTCTAGGAGAGGCAGCTTTGATGCTGGCACAGGCTTTAACATGAACTTCTCATCCTCCTCCTATACATCCTCATCTAGCTACAGCCGCAGATACTAATGACCTATTGCTGTTCCTGATAACCTTTGATTAAGAACCAATAGTACTAATGCACTTTATAGATGCATTTCTAACAGGAAAAATAGTTGCTGTAGCGAAAAAGTAAAAATTATTTATTCAATATTGCATGTCATCAAATTAAGATTGCCTTAACAATGGATTTCTTTTATATATATATATTTGAACTTTACTTCTGTAAACAAGTGCCTCTTTTGTGAGGAATTAACCATGGATCACTATGAATATGGAAAAATCAAATTAATTTAATAACAGTTATTAAGTCAAACTTTTCTAAGACAAATTCCAAAAGAAAGCAATGTTTCTGCTGTTTTTAGGTGACCATATTCTTTTTCTTTTTTTTTTTTTACAAGTGTTCAATAGATGTGTACTAGTGCTTTCTAAGACTAATATATATTATATACATACCAAAAAAAAAATACTTTTTTCCACTGCCCATGTTTTTTGAAAGTTTTATAGTTGTTTAGTTCATTTATTTTGCCTATTTTACAGCTTTATGACTAGTAGTAATGACAAATTGAATGTCAACAGATTTAATGTTTTTATCTACAACATACAGATGCATTTGATACTTTGAAACATTTGTATAGAGTATGTAATGTTTTCATATTATCTGACAATATGTACACTGTACTGCGTAAATGAGAGCACCAAATATACCAGTAAAACACTACAAACTGAACCATTATCGAATGCATCATTGAAAGGGACTATTGTAATCAACTGAAAAGACTGTTGTTAATTTGGTTCCACATTGTCATTACCTCTGGCATTTTATAATCAGTAGGAAAGTAAGCATCTTTATTGTTGTACAAACTGCAAATTCTGGGTTCCTCAAATTGAACATCAGTCAAGTGTTCCTGCCAAATCCCAAGATGATGTCACACTCAGTCCTGCACTCCTTCACCAACCTGCTGCCTGTTTATTTGAATTTTGTAAGTGTTTTTTTTCTCTCTTTTATTTATAAATTACATTTTTTTTTCTTCTTGTTTTTTTTTTGTTTTGTTTTTCTTCATGATTTTAACATATCTCAAAAACTGGAATGAATTTATTCAACTTAACATCCAATGGGCCATTTAAGTTTTCTATTCACCTTTCCAACTTCTAATACAGTTTTTTCTGTTCATCTGCTTCTGTTTTATAGATTGGTAAATCAATCAGAGTCCAAAATGTCAAAATGGATAATCAGTGGCCCCGAGTGCATTCCTCACCTGCTGTTGATGGATACGTGAGACCACGTCATCCTCACTCAGAAAAACAGGTACTACCCTTAGCTATTTCAAAATACATTGTCTTTCATGCTTGATGTTTGTCCCCCACCCCCCCATCCTACATTGTTTTTGTCCATTTTATTTGCTTTTTCCCTTTGCTTTCTTTTCATAGTAATTTTTATTTGCTCCTAGATCTTCATTTAAAAATCCCCTTCCTTCCACCATCACGTGCCACATTTGAGGAAAACTGAGACTGAGTCACTTTCATCTTGGGATTACCTTTTTCATCAAACACTGTCTAGTCATGTACACTTGGCAATTATATTATTACTTGAATAATATTAGTGATATTTTTGCTAAACTAGGTTAGAATATTAATACCCCAATGCACAACTCTGCATCAACAGTTTGTATTTGACACTTCAATGAAATGAAATTACTTTTATTGCCTTTATGGTCCATTGCCTATATTTATGTTAACTTTTATCATAAATCCAGTTAAGCCAGAGTGTATATGTCAATAATTTCAACTGCATCCATCTATGCTGTCAGATTATTTTGTTTGATGTTTTTACATGGATTTTCAAAGCAACCTGAGAAGGCTTCAGTTTTGTTTTGTTTTTTTGTTTGCTTTTTGTTTGTTATTTTGCTTTCTCCATACCATGATTTTTGGTTTTACGTCATGTTAAATTGTTTTAATGTTTTTTGTTGTTATGAATGTGCCTAGCATGTTTAACTAACTTTGCTATGACAAGGATTTAAAATTTATGAAAAATGTAAACTTTTTTTTTAACTCACTTAATTTTAGCATCACAAACTGAATTTGCTTTTTGGGGCAACTGTTGCTTAAATAAGAATGAGGATTTTTGATGTATTTTATGATAAGGTTATGCTGTAAATAAATATTCTCTGAACCAAACCTCTTGTCATTTATATATCAGAATAAAATAATTTGCAGATATACTTTTAGGTTACACTGTAAAAAACCAATACTTGAGGTTAGACATGTCAATGGGTGTCTTTTAAGTGAACTTTATTTCCATAAAAAGCAAACACTTATTGTAGGATCTTAACAGTTGTTATCTGATAACAATTAGATAACTTTTACAACTGCCATATAAACAGGCATGCACATCCTCAAAAATTATGCTAGTTGGTTTAATGTATCATGGTCCTAGAATTTTTGTCCAGAGTTACAATTCATGAAACAATCAGATCCTCACAGCAACAATAATGAAAATGATGATGCCAAATCCTAGGAAACAAGACTTCCAAGAAGAGGAATGCACTATGAATCAATTATTGCTAAAAATAATAATTAACACATACCAAATATAAATTGCAGTCTAAGAAGTATGTAAATTAAATTCTAATGAAACATGTCTAACCTAGTAATTTCATTTGTGTCCGAGCCATGATCAAATTACATACACGTTTACCATTCACCTCATAACTTCTAAAATTATCATTAACTATATCCACTATATCCATATGGAAGCAGCCTCATCATAAAACTGTCAGACCCAATGAATGAAAAATAACATTGTTTGTACTGTAATGTTGAGCAGTTTTAGCAAAATCATGTTTGGATCTTAAACTAATCCATAGGCCAGATGCTTACTCATAAAGCTAAACAAGTTTAACTAAAAGATATTATTGTAAGTGTTGACACTGATTATGACTACTTCAGATGGTGCCCAGGGGGTGCTAGCCCCACATCTATCAACAAGTAATGCAAAACAAAAAAATTAATAAAATGAGACTAGTGAACAAACACATTATACTTGCAAACAAAAACATTAGACTAACACAAAGTGTGAAGGAAAAACACTGCAAAAGTTAAATGTTGCAATCACAGAAAATAGAGAGCAGCAAAGTGCAAACTACCGGTAACTATAAAAAAATAAATAATAAATCATACGAAACAAATCCAAAGCAAAAGGCTTCAAGTAGCAAAAACAACTGCAATGTATGAAATGTTACAAACTAGCATAGCATAGTGGAAAATGCTCTAGACCAGGAGGAAACCATCATCAACTCAAATGGGAATACATCCTTAGATGTATTCCTGCTTTGACTGTCATGGCGCAGAAATAAGGGGCGCCATCTTGGAGAGGTCGACCCACTACCCTAATGTAAGCTGCTGGTTTAAACAGAGCAGATGAAGGATGTCTCATTACTATGCGGCATATTTTGGGCTGAATATACGGACTGTTGTCATCAGGGCTCGAGGGATAACTTTGTGAAGGCATAAGAGCTTTGTAAGTCATTACTGAACAAACAGCAGAGGTGTCAAGTAACGAAGCACAAATACTTCATTACTGTACTTAAGTACACTTTTTAGGTATCTATACTTTACTCCATTACTTATTTTTCTTCCTACTTCTGACTTCTACTCATTACATTTTCACACATTTTCTATTCCTTACATTTTTAAAACATACGTTACTCGTTACTCTTGGCTTCGGTTTAATGTTTATAAATATTTATTTCACCTCATGTGCGCCATCCAATGCAGATCATTGGCGCATCCACGTCTAGTGAAAACTAGTGTAATTGGATGAGTCATAGAACGCAAACACTCATTGTTTAGCTAAAGGAAACCATGAGAAACAAGCAGGTGTTCTTCAAACTGCACACGCGAATTGTCTATGCCATGCTACAATGTCGGATTCAGAAAAAGATGTTGAAATGTCTGAAAGGTCGAACACAGGTGAGAGCGTATCGGGAGATGGAGACAGAGACCAACAAGACCTCCCTCATCTTTAGACTCTCTCAAAGAATTTTTTGAAATAGTGGAAAAATTGAGCTTTAAATTCATATAGTCGCATCTCTCTGGGGTTTTTTAAAGGTTACTATATACTTTTTTATTTTAAGTAGTTTTTGGAGCACATACTTTTTCACTTTTACTTGAGTAAAGAGTCAAGTTGATACTTCAACTTTTACCAGAGTGTTTTTAAACTGCAGTATCTATACTTCTACTTAAGTAACAAATGTGTGTAGTTTTGACACCTCTGATAAACAGGATATATACACTACATATATATTTAGAGAGAGATACATATACACGCACACACATATATATATGTGTGTATATATATATATATATGTTTGTGTGTGTGTGTGTATATAGCAATAAGAAAATTATATAAATGTATGCAATGCTGTGCTTTGCAACATACATACATCGTATCTTACTCTTAACCCCACTAAGAATATTTAAAGGCTCTGACCCATTTGCTGTTTTTTTTTCAGCAAAAGAAAAAAAAAACTTACCGTGAAGATTAGTTCAATATTCAGCGAGTAAATGTTGATAAAAACCGTTTCTGTTCCTGCTCAACACATTACACTTAGATGAGCTGTCGACCGTCCCAAGATGGCGCCACCATAGGTGAAAGCGGGCAATGAGGGTTCTACTACTTTTATGTATGTCAATGGTCAGAAGTGGTATGTGTTTAGAAAATTCAAAGAACATACTATTTTACTTTCTTACCTCCAAATTTGGGACATTTAGTTTATGTTTAATAAATGTTCTGTCAGTAATTCATCATAATGCCTATGGTCTGGTCCCAAATGTGTGATAATCTTCTTCATCTAGGGCTCTGGAGAATTTCATATGGAGCTATAGCTTTTCTTAACTTGCAGTTGTTTTTGTCCCTTGCAGCAATTTCCCCTTGCCTGAGTTGTGTCAGCATTGTTCCTGGCATTGCAGCATTTCTTCATTGCCAAATTTCCCTTTACATTTGTTTTATGTGTTTGTGTATTAGACTTAGACTTCATTTATTGTAATTGCACAAAAGTACATAAGATGAACTCTTGTTTTGGTCTATTTTTTGTATTAGTCTATTTCTTGCGTTTACTGGACTTGTCATTGCGATACTTGTATTTTCTTTCCAATTATATATTTGCATTGTGCACTCCTTGGCCACCAATGCCACAGTGTGATTGTTTAACAAAATTATTTTAAAAATCAATCATTAATCGTAACTAGAAAACCGATGAGGAAAAAAAAATAAGCAATAACGTATATGGATGATACAAATAAATTGTCTGGTTATAGCTGGTTGTATTAATGAGAAGAGGATTCCCAAAACTTCCACTGAGGAATATGCAATACTGGAGATGAAAGAAGTATCTTTAACCAGCTTGACATCAGACATAGTACATAAATAAAAGTTCTGAGTGTTGAAGCAAAAACAGAAGTAATAAAGCGTTAAAATCTTTTCTTTTTTAAATCCATACTATTTACAATGGAGACAGTGATTTAGAATTAATAGGTTTGCCTCTCCTAATTTTGGACATTAGTATTCATCTAATAGCAATATAGTAGAGGCATAATCATTCCCAAAAGTGAAAAATAATGCTAAACCAAAGTATTTTTGCAAGATTTTGCAATATCAAAGAGCAGCTTTTATATATTGTGGTAAATTGTGTCTTTCTACAAGTTAGATGATATATTCTAATCATTTGAAAAGGAAATTGTACAAAAGACCCGAAGGACAGTCCCTTAAGTTGGACTGCACACAAAAAAAATTGTGGTTATATTAAACGAAACTGTTGAACAATGTTTTTCTTGATATAATTTCTTCAGCTTTGCTAATTGAATTGCTGTTAGTCAGTATAGCATGAAAAACTGCAGATGATCACATGAGGGCAGTGTTATGCTGAGTCAGGCAATCTGAAGGAAGCAACATAAGGTGTGACAGATCTACTTAATCTGACCCTTATTGTACAGCTAATGTGACATGTGCTCACAATTACCTCCATTTATATTGATAAAATGGTCATAGTTTAAAAAGTATTTCTATTTACATTTAAATAACAATATATGTCATAAAGTCACAATTTAGTCCATAAATTTAAGCTCCCCAAGTCATTGAATAAAAATTCAGAGCTTAGAAAAAGCACCTGTGCCAAGAGTCTTGGATGCAAACATATTCTGGTTTCTTTGCCAACATTAGCCACCCGAGGAGCCTGTCGCCAGAAGCAACGGGGAATTTACCTCACTGAATTCTTCTCTCAGTTCCCTTGACAACTTTGA